GGCTGATATTCTTGATATCTGTAGCATAGGACGCAATGTCTTCGTCTTGACCTTGCTTTCTATTGAAGAGTTTGTGCCTTTCCATTGTTATGTTTACCTTAGGCAGAAAAAAATCCTCGAATTTCTTAAGGAGTTCTTCGAAAGAGATGATATCGATGTCGACGTTAAATGAGTAAAATATTTCTAACGCCTCGCTGCCGATGCATGCTAACAAAATGGCGACCTTACGTGATTCAGGTTCCTTTTCAAAGTTATTTGCCCGCATGTAAATTTTTAAATTCGTGGCGAAGTTCTTCCAAGTCAGCGGCATATTTGACGCATGTATATTCAGTTTTTCGATATTATTTATAAGTGACGAAGACGATTGTATAAAATGCGATTGTCCAGCGTCCGCCATGATGTCGTCTGTAGATTTCGTAGATTTCTTTGCAGCTTGCGTGTGCGACATTTTCAATTTTTATTTATTTCATTGACTTTTCCTTTTTTACTTCTGACACCATGTTATGTTCTATGTATTTATTATTATTTAATATTTACTAGGACTCGGGTTTAAATGAAACAAGCGTTCACGTTGAAGCCATTGACCAGACGGAAGTGTCTATTTTTTATTTCTTAATGCTAACTAACCATAGACAATAATGAGGTTTACACACTATCCAACACTTACAAAGTTTAGTTTTTCAACCGACTTCAAAAAGGAGGAGGTTCTCAATTCGACTGTTTTTTTTATGTTTGTTACCGGCTAAGTAATTAAAGCCTACCTATTAAATACATACCTAATCAAATATTTTCGAAATCGGTGCCAGCCCATACAAAGCAAAGGACACCGACTTCGAATATATTTGATTAGGTAGGTATGTATAGTAAATGAAAACTACCAATCAGTTATTTTTTACTTTTTAGTGCTTTTGTTTGAAGTCGGTTTTTATTTTTTTGTTAAAAAGTTTTTATGCTATTGAAAATGTCCTATTCATTTTTTTATACAGATTATTTAAACTAAGTAAACATAAAAGTCTGTGACAAGGATTGATTTTAATGTATGTATGTATATACGTACTTTTTGAAATGATTGCGCATTTACATATTAGCGTATCACAAGACAGAACCAAATTAAGGTTAATTAAATACAATTGCGATTTATGACTGTTCCAACTCGTCGTAAACAAACAATAACAATGTAGCTATTTTTACTACAAATTATTGTCTTCAGTTTCACGAAACTTTTTAATACTCTTGTTATTATAAATCTTTAATTTATCTACTAGTACTCATCACTGAGTCTCTAAAAGTAACTACAAATATTATCCACTATAAATGATACATAAATACATATACTATATTACGTACAGTCATACTTCAATTGGATACTTTCGAAGAAAATAAATTATATATATATATTATTATATATATTATTATTTTCTTCAAATATATATATATATATATATATATATATATATATATATATATATTATATATATATATATATTAATATATATATATTAAACTAGCGGCTCACCCTCGCTTCGCTCGGGTTTGTCGCTGGGTACGTTTTAAATAGATATAAATAGTTATTAGCCAGCGTTAGCCATATACATTTTAATTTTTTTTGTTAATAATATTGACAAATATTGACATTAACATTTATACGATACTAACGTCACTCAATTGTTTTGCCTTTCCGGAACCTCTCCACTAACACTTAAACTTTATGGTATAGTATTGAAGTTCAAATTGACTTTTAAGTATTATTACCAATCTTTTGTATGGGAGTATAGAAAAGTGTTGATTTTAGACTTTTTCAGGCAATTTTTTAAAATTTTCTCTCCGTAAGAACCATCCTCGTACTTCAAAGAATATTCTAAAAAAAGAATTAGCGAAATCTGTTCAGCTGCTCTCGAGAGTTGCGCTTACCAACACATTCAGCGATTCATTTTTATATTATAGAAGAAGATATTGCCATGTTTGCTAAGAACTAATAGAAAAACTTTAAAAAAAACGATTTCAAAACAAGCACTAAAATGTAAAAAAAAAACTTTGGCCTGTAAACTATGCAGAATGGAAATAACTGATTGGTAGTTTTCATTTAGTCTAGATACCTAATCAGATATTTTCGAAGTCGGTGTGCTTTGATTTTTATCGGCTGGCACCGACTTCGAAAATATCTGATTAGGTATCTATTTGTAAATGAAATTTAACAATCAGTTATTTTTTACTTTTTAGTGTTGTTTTTGAAGTCGGTTTTTATTAATTTTTAAAATGTTTATATTTTTCCATTTTTACTGTAGACATTGTAATAGCAAAGTAAGAAGAAAGTATTTTAATAAAATATTCGCTTAAGCCGTTTACGTTAGTTAGATGAAAATTGTTGAAGACTGATAAACTAAAATTCACTTTTATTAGTAGCACTAAAAATCAGGCTTTAAAATCCAATTCTAATGTATTGGGTTTTTCAAATTAAACAAAATAAGCTCAAACTCAAAGCATCTACTATTAGCCGTTAAAGATTTCTACCTATCCACCATATGGCCTTACTATTAGATCAGGTCGACGATATCGAATCCCTGCATTATCAACTCCAATAGAAACACTTGCAAAGTTTCAAGTAAATATGACAATTAGAAGTAGGTTAAATTTTCATTAGCTATTTTTCCAACCTTAGGGGTGGTATTTATATATCTCTATATCATATCATCTATGTATATGTCAAATAATGGAATACGCTTTCAATCAAAACAAAAATTGTCCAAATCGGTTAATAAATGACGGAGTTCTGAGGTAACAAACATAAAAAAATACAGCCGAATTCGGTTGAAAGATTATTAATAAATTATACCACGGTTGTACAAATAAATAATGACAATATAAATAATAGTTTGTGTGAAATAATCAAAATCACCTGTAGTTTGTATTTTTTCATCCAAACTGTCATCTCTTTTCACCCCTTTTCGTTCTTTAGGGGTTGAAAATTAATTTCTTTTAAGGTACTTTATCCTTAAAATACACTGCCAAAATTTCAACCCTTTATTTCCAGCATATTTTTAATGACTGAGTGTTCTGCTCGCCCATCCGTGTAGTGATGCTGTCAAGGCCAGTAGGATTAACCGCACTTTAGATTAAAAAAACCAATGATTTAGTCTGAGTGATGACGACTCATTTTCCTAATTACATTAAAGCATATCTAAAAAACCTTTTCAGTTTATTAGAAAAATAAATCTGGAAACAGCGTAGGTAGAGACACTAGTGAAACATAATTATTGCTCTTCCACTATTAAAGTAGCTCGTTATTCATCTTCAACGCAACATGAATAAAATGCTACACAAAGGCACTGCGCTAAACCCGCTGACGTGGTTGACATGAGCTTTAGCCTTGCATAAGTCTGATTTACGAGTGCATGTTTCGTACACCACTTACCCTGTATTTTCTAATTAGAGTATATATGTACAATATTATCATAACAGAATGGGGTCTCTAAATTAGAAATCTATATTTTTATCCATCAAAAAATCTAGTATTGTGTACCTAATTTACAAATCCATACTAATTATTTACCATAAATTACAAAAGTAACTCTGCCTGTTTGTCTGTCCACTGGTCTGTCTGTCAGTCTGTTACCTTTACACGTTTAAATAATCCTCTGAACCGATTTAGATGAAATTTGTTAAGAAGATAGTTTGAATCCTTTTGAAGGACATTTTTATTCCGGAAATCATCCCTTAAGGGGGTAGAATGGAGGATAGAAGTATGTATGTTATATTATTTCTCAAGTAATACAAAATATAAAACTCATCATACATAACCTATCTATATATACTCTATCTATTCCATACTAACCGTTAAAACGTACCCAGGGACCAGCCTAAGTGAGGCGAGCGTAAGTCGCTAGTTATGAATAAATATTTTTCTAAAATCCGGAAACGTGGCATACTTTACAAATAGAAAATTCTTTTTATGCTATACTCAAAACATAAAAAAATATTATAATACCGTTTTCCTATTTTTGCTTCCTTTTTCGAGCCAGGACCTGCTGACTCTGCTGCTGCTTTATTATTTTTATAAAGTTATTTTGAATCTAGTTCAAAAAATATTTGAAATTGAAACACTCACAGCCTCCTCTCGACAGCCGAGTTATTGTGTAGGTTTTTCTGGCTTATTGTGTAAAATTACCGTCATTTACTTCATTTCAACCACATTGCGGAAAGTGCCAGTCGACCGACAAAAACATTCAGCGTAATGGTCCTGTCACTACGCGTGTCGACCTGTTAATAATGTTCATTCTTATGGTTTCACTAGCATTACCCGCGGCTCCGCCCGCGTTTAGATGACCAAAAACAAAATTTTTAGGTTTTACATATTAGTATACTCTTACATTGCAGTTTTTGTATTTTTTCTCAAAAATGAGACATTTACCCGTGGTAAAAAATATCCTATATGTTGACCCGGATAACCAGCAATCACCATACCAAATTTCATCAAAATCTCTCTAGTGGTTTTTCTATGATGCGGTACCAGACAGACAGACAAAAATTCTAAAAACTATAGATTCGGCCTCTGTATCGATAATAATGTTTATTTCTATAAGATTTTCCAAAAAATATTCAATGTACAGATTCGGCTTAGTTACAATTTTATTATATGTATAGATTTATGAACTCTACTATTTGGCCACAGCCGATCAAAATTCATGGCTGCCGTTTTAATATGGAGTTTTTAAAAGATACGTATCGATTAAGGGATCCTGTAGTCATTTTTATCATTAGGATAAAATGTATATAAAAAACCGATGATGATATAGAAAACTATTATATTAAAAATCTATTCGCCACTCTGTTTTTTATTAATAATTCCCATTATCCATAATTTTAGAGCACTACGAGCTTCATATAAATAGATGATTTCCAAAAAAATAAGCTTATAAGGCTCTACAATATTTAATACATATGAAATACAATTTTATGCAATATTTTTTTTATTTCTTTACAGGTTCTACTGGGATCTATGTATGCTACTGTTGTTAGTGGCTAACCTTATCATCCTGCCCGTCGCCATCTCTTTCTTCAACGATGACCTCAGCACACGGTGGATAGCTTTCAACTGTCTGTCTGACACCATATTTCTAATAGATATCGTTGTTAATTTTAGAACAGGTTCGTTCAATATTAGTTTTTATGCTTTCGAAAATATCTTTAAAAAACTGAATACTTAATTAAATATACTAATCATTGTATTCCACAAAAAAATATATAACTGCTCAATTTTCTTATTTAAATATATAAAACTAAACGATTGAGAGTTGCAGTCGTATAATTTATTATTTGGTAATTACAAATAATTGGTAAGTATTCTCCTACTGTATCATTAATGATTTATTTTTTATTTTTCAGGAATAATGCAGCAAGATAATGCAGAGCAAGTGATATTAGATCCAAAGTTAATCGCAAAGCACTATTTGAGGACATGGTTCTTCCTTGACCTCATCTCTAGTATACCACTAGATTATATATTCCTTATCTTCAACCAGGTAAACGTACGTTGCAATTTGGCCGTGTTCCTTTTACTAGTTTTAATCTGTCTTTTATGATTTTGATTCTGTTTCAGCTTGGGTGTTCATTTATTTTTTTAATAGCAAAAGTTTTTTTTTTGTGTGTTATTTTTTTTTTGTTTCTCATTGTGATATTTACCCAACTGCCACGAGAACGTTCAACGCGCCATCGTGTTCGGTTTAATATTTATTGTACTGGTTTCTCAGAAACCTTCTAAAGGTTTGATTGCAGCACTCTAGATACATCTTCTATTTTATTTCTATATTTTCACAAATATCTAAAAGTATTTGCACGATTTTTTTTCAGTCGTAGCCCATATGAATCTGATCTCATCTTACCTTAATCTTCTTCGCTTTACCGCTAGTATCTTTAGGTGAAATTCTGTTCGTATGGGATACTGAAACATCTCTGAGGCTTCGGCCTTTAATATAAGCACATTTCTACTTTGTGCACCATCTATCTCTAAAACAAAATCCGAATGCACTATTTTCTTCTAAATTCTTTTGCCACAGAATGGCTATTGACTTTGCACGTTATCAACTTCTCTTAAATCCATTTTATATTACTTTAACATTCACTATTATGACCGCATGATTTACTATAGTATTTTCTTGTCCAGGTTTTTTGATTTTTGCTTTTACCGTAAAATTGTTCTTCAGCACGCAGAATATTACATTTATTTTTTTACCCTTCTGCCGTAAATGCAACACGACCAAATTGTACTACTTTATAAATTTCTATGTTTATACTAACATTTTAATATTTATAGCTCAACGATTAACATTACGACTATTTTATTGTTATGAATACATAAACTTTTATAACGTACTTATATACCTATTAATTAATCTATTACCTATGAAACAACTCAATTATTATTAGGTACATTTATCAAAATATAAGCTTTCTTGAATTAATATTTTCTTAATTTAACATATTTCTAGGATTTTTAAAAACATAAATATAATATGTAAAATATGATGCTTCAGCACTTTTCTTTGGCTGATGTATTTTTAAATCTATCAGTTCAGCAAGTTTGCATGTCTTATACACTTCTATTGTTAAAATAAAGTTGGGCATTGAATATAGATGCTCTCTTTAGATTAGATTCACAAGAACGTTAAAAATAATTATTAAGTTCACTACTAAAACATTAGTTTGACTGTGTTTCCAGGACTTTAGCGAAAGCTTTCAAATTCTTCACGCCGGTCGTGCCCTAAGGATACTACGGTTAGCTAAACTTTTATCACTGGTTCGACTGCTCAGACTTTCCAGACTCGTCCGATATGTCTCGCAATGGGAGGAAGTATATGTAAGCCATCATTTCTTCTAGTTACCATTTTTTACCCATTTTCTTACAACCACTAACACTGCTCTAACACATTACGCTCACATAAACTAACACCAAATTAACACCTACTAACAATACCAATATATTGATTAAAATATGTTCTTACAATTGTTTCTTTATTATTTCCTGTGATTGGCTATAATGTTTTGTAAATATTTAATTTTATAAAATGTTAATTGAATACTAAATAATCTGAATTTTTCTATCTAGTTAGTAGAAATTCCTAATGACTTACCATTGGAGTTTTATGTAATCCTCAACTGTACCATTGTCCCCACCCTCCACTGTATGAGCCCCACGTCCCGCTCTGCACTTCTCTACTGCTTCTCTGCAAGCTTCTTTCTGCCTGAGCACGCTCTCACTTGAGATATCTGATTCTATCTCTTTTCTATGAGCCCGCGCCGCGCCGCGCCGCGTCCGCGTCTACAGACCCAAACCGTCCCATATTCATAAACGTGATATTTGATTTGCCAATTTGTACTTATTATGTTGCTGCTTCTTAAAGCCTTTAGAACATGCGCTGACGCCGAAATATTCATATTAACTTCTTCATTACTACATGACTAAATCGATAATTTATCGCGTGCCGTCGTCATTTCAGTCCGAAATCGTATATCAGTTAGTACTCGTTTTCAAACTAAAACGGTAAATCAAATATTATTAGTCCGTCATTAGTATGCCCCCTCAATAACCATAGAAAGTATATACCTACGTATAATAATGCACAAATCTGTACCTACCGAATAATTAGAGTACCACCGAGTAGGTCAAACCTGTCACGGTAGTAGTATGCGGAGAGTCAGTGACAGACAGTGGAGAAGTGGAGTACGGGGAGGGTGGTGGCGACGTCGCAGTGACGGTGTTGTGTGCAGATGAGCCCCGCCCCGCAGCCGAGCGACGAGCCGGGAGACGCGGACGGCGGCTCGCGCGACCTCGCCTCGCAGGTGCCGCATGATCGACGCGCTCCCTAGCCGCCTTGCGTAGGGGCTTAGCCCGTCCCATATCGGTGTTAGTGCATCCCGTAAGCCCGCACGCGCCCCCGCCCCCGCCCCGCCCGCACACCCCGCGACGTTCCAACCGCCGACCCCGCCCGCACTCGCCGGGCGCGCCTGGCTCTCCTACTATCTCGTGTTTCTCGCTTGTTTTCTAGATCTTGCAGAATCTTCAAAAAAAGCGCACGGAACGTCGGGGACGGCTGAGCTCCGACGTCGCCAAAAAGAAGGGTGACACGAAAAGCAATCTGATCTTTAAGGTAACGAGGGCGCGCATGTGCTCGTTCGCCCGCTTAGCATGCAGCCGGCGCCGCCCGGCGTCCTTACACGCTCGCTTCGCTTCCTCTTTCGTTGGCGTTTCTGTTTCCGACCCTCCCGTAGGCCGCGCGGGCGGAGGCGCGCGAGGCGGCGGGCAGGGCGTCCGCGGCGGCTTGGGAAGCCCTGCCCGTATGCCCGCGATCGCATGCTCGCTCGACGACTCGTCTCACGCGTTCATATTTTATTTCTCACTTTTACAAGAACCCATCGGTAGAAATCATCGCGATGCTTGAACGAGCGTCTTTGTCGCGCGCAGTCCGCACGGCTTCCTTTAGAGGCGACAATTACTATTAATGCAGTTTAGATTAATCGAGTTCTTCTTCCTCAGTTCCTCAATATGGCCTCGGTGTTCATGCGGATATTCAACCTCATCTGTATGATGTTGTTAATCGGGCACTGGTCTGGGTGCCTACAATTCCTCGTCCCAATGCTGCAAGGATTTCCGCCAAATTCTTGGGTCGCAATAAATGAATTACAAGTTAGTATATAACAATTAATATTGCAAAACAGAAAACCAATTATATATATCATCGTAATTTTAAGATAATTTGGCACAGAGATTGATTATAGTCTGGAATAACACATAGGCTTATTATCCCGGAAAAATGCACGGTTCCTGTGGGATATATTTGTTCTTGCTTTTCTAGAAGCGAACCCGAGCGAAGCGAGGGTGAGCCGCTTTTATTTATAATACCTCTATTCATTTGTTAATAGTAATTACTCCAAGCCAAAACAAAAAAAAATCAAACGACGAAAATTTCTTTTTTCAGGAAGCCTTCTGGTTAGAACAGTACTCGTGGGCTTTATTCAAGGCAATGTCTCATATGCTGTGCATTGGATATGGTCGATTTCCTCCACAATCTCTCACAGACATGTGGCTTACTATGCTTTCAATGATCTCTGGAGCCACTTGTTACGCCCTTTTCCTGGGGCATGCAACTAATCTTATTCAAAGTCTTGATTCATCACGCAGACAATATCGTGAAAAGGTAATTAATTATACATTTTTAAGTCCTTGTCTAGAATTACAACCTAATAAGACACGTTAGCAGGCAGTGGTATCCCAGTGGTAACGCGCTCGCTTGGGAAACCGAGTGAAGCGGGTTCAAATCCCGGGTCTCGCACCTCTGATATTTTCATGTGCGAATCATTTCTAACATGATTACCACTTGCCTTACGGTGAAGGAAAACATCGTGAGGAAACCTGCATGTCTGAGAGAACCTAGCAAGTTTTCAAAAGACATGTAAAGTCCGCCAACCCGCACTTGGTCAGCGCCACGTGGTGGACTATGGCCTGATCCCCCTCGTATTGAAGGGAGGCCCGTGCCCAGTAGTGGGACGTCAAAAAGGGCTGTATGCATACACATACACATACAAGACACGTTACGAGTATAAAACCCACGTTGTAAGTATTATTTTTATTTTTCATTAAATAATCTAGTTAATAATCTAAATAGATGAATAAGGGAAAAGGTCTAAATTGTTTTAATATTTACATAAAAATGGGTAACTAAAAATATTGTATATGTAATACCGATGTATATACTCGTACAATATACATAATAAAACTAAATCCTGACTTTTGAACCTACATTCAAATAAGTTTAAATGTGAGCTGTTATGAACACCTTTCATGGTAGAATAATGAATATCGGAAAATAACATCTTTTACATTAAAATAGCATTATAAAAAATAAATCTTCAAAATTTCTTCGTGAATTCTTGTACGTGGCAGTTTTCATATAAATCATTAAAATACTAATTTTAAAGTCACTATTGCCTGTTTCAGAAACTAGACGTGAGTATAAAGTGAATGATCGTTTTGTAAATTATGTATTACTATTTACTTCACAACCTCATTTATTCGCACTGTCTACTATCGCGTCATACTTTAACTGGTGTAAAATACATTATACATAAATATGTACATATATTAATGCACTAATGTGTTCATGACAGCTTTTATTTAGTAATATACATGGTAAAAATTCATGTTCTATAGGTGTTATAATATTCTTTACTCCATATACATTATACATACTAATAATTCTAATTCATTCTTCTTTAAGGTGTATCTGAATTGTAGATGGGGTCCAATATATTTTAAATACATAATATATTTTAGATACATAATATTGGTGTTATAGTTTTTTTAGTTAGTTGTTTGCACGAATGAGATTTACCATGAACCTAAGTGGGCATATCTTAGTTACCTAATACAGAGACAAAACACAATATTAACAAATTGGAGATACATGACACTTTGTTGTATAAATATCATGTTAATGAAATTGTGTATGCTACAGGTAAAGCAAGTAGAAGAATATATGGCATATCGAAAACTGCCACGAGAGATGCGTCAACGAATCACCGAGTACTTCGAACACCGATACCAAGGAAAATTCTTCGACGAGGAATTAATTTTAGGCGAATTGAGCGAAAAACTGCGAGAGGATGTCATCAATTACAATTGCAGATCTCTTGTCGCTTCGGTGCCATTCTTTGCTAATGCTGACTCTAATTTCGTCTCAGATGTAGTTACAAAATTGCGTTATGAAGTCTTCCAACCGGGTAAATATTTTGGCAATTTCTATTTTTATTAGGAAAACGAATTAAGCAGCGTTAAATAATTACGCATTTTTGTTTCCAGGTGACATTATTATAAAAGAAGGAACCATCGGGAACAAAATGTACTTCATACAAGAGGGTATTGTAGATATCGTTATGGCAAACGGTGAAGTTGCGACCAGCTTGTCAGATGGGTCCTACTTCGGAGAGATTTGCCTTTTGACCAATGCCCGGCGAGTCGCTTCCGTCCGCGCCGAAACTTACTGTAATCTTTTCTCATTATCCGTGGACCACTTCAATGCTGTTCTGGATCAATATCCACTAATGCGACGAACGATGGAGAGTGTCGCAGCTGAACGTCTGAATAAGATCGGCAAAAATCCAAACCTTGTCGCGCATAGAGAAGACGATACGACATCAGAAGGCAATACGATAAATGCTGTGGTTAACGCGTTGGCAGCGGAAGCGGAGCACGTTAGCCTTTCAGACGATAGCGTAGCGCGTTTGTCAGAAAGATCCCTCGGACTGGCTCTGCAACCGTTGCAAGCAGCTTCGTGTCGTATGGCGGGAGTCGCGTTACCGGGCTTGGGCGTAGCGGCTGCTCTACCACGTCCTAAGTCCGAACATGATTTTAGTTCCGCGCAATCTCAACAGCCGCCTTTAACAAGCACCGCTGCCTTTCATAAATCGGACGCCGGAATCGCCCCCTGACGTCGTACATTATGCTAGGGCTAACCGATAGCAATACTAGGCTTAGTGCGAGCGCGCGCGCCGCCTCGCTAGTTGTAGCGTAGAGTGGTGGGCGATTATGAATGGTTAATATAAACGAATTGTTAACTGGAGATTATAAAAATCGTTGAATAATACTAATTATTTGGATAATCTAACAAAATGTTTCCTAACAAAGTTCGCTCAGCTTACTCGTTTTATTTTATATAATGATTTAATTCATAATATCATTCATAATCGCTCGCTTCTAGCGTAGAGTATTATAGCTGCGACTTCGCCGGCGCGCCCACCGCGCCCGCTGAATCTCATTTTGTGATCTTATACTTAATTCTCCTGTGTTATTTAGGTTAAATTTTATATCATCGACGCTGTGAGGAAACGGATACGCGACGTATTCCGATTGTATAGATATACATGTTATATATCGAAGGATGAGATTGAGTCTTTATAGATATACCTTGCCATTAAAGAAAAGTAATTATATAGACTAGACTGAGATGTAAAGATATCATTATTTTATGCTTTGTTGGCGTACGAAATAGATCTTACTATTGTTGACGGATGCGATCCGATCATTCGCCAGAGTTTGAACGTTGATGATTATGTATTTATAACGTTCATTATAGTGACGAAAACGAAGATATTATATAATTGAATTGTTAATAATTATATAAAGTTTGAAGCGTAGAAAACTATAGGGCGTTGCGAAGCTGTGCGTCGCCCATGCTGCCCTCGAACGGTTCCATTAATTCATTTGTAATTAACTACGCGAGCACTGCATTACCTAAGCTTCCTACTGATAAGAAAATACGTAACCCATTCCAAAACTCATTAAACGTATATGAAAAATTTAATTCTTTAATAGTACTTGTGAAAACGGGTATTTTGTTGTGTGTCTTTGAATTTAAGTCGACAACCGTAAAGATACTTGTGTACACTGTACAGTGAGCACGTTTGAAAGTGGCCGCCGGCGCACAGCTCCACAGCGCGGCCGCGGTGCTCGCGCACCGGGCACTGCACCCGCGACGCACAATTCGACAGATCACATGAATCCATAGCACACGGACGCTTTCTTAATTTTAAATTTAAGTAGACTAACGAATAACGGAAGACATATGGTTGGTCTCGATTTCCTATTTAGAGGTGGATCAGTAGCGCTTCGAATTGTTTCTTTATGTAAATATTGTATTATTATTGAAGATTCGCCTTTAGCGTGATTCGTTTTATATAGAAGTGATAAGGGGGCGCTCTTTCGAGCGGTCCAGTCAATTATCGCGTGAGCGTGGCGCTAGACGTCACGTTTTTTGATGCACTACAACACTTCGTACCTTGTTTTAATTGTAGGTGAAAATAATTTATTATCGATAGTAATCATTTAGTAGGGGTAAGTAGGCCGGAGCGATAACAAATTCGGACGAATTACGTTTTGTGATAGAGCAGCAGTGGGCTGCGAGCGCGCTGCCTCGCCGCCGGCTCGGCGATACTCGATACATACCTAATAACGGCGTAGATGTAGTCACGTGCATGGAAAATGCTTACACTTCTTTCTAACTTGGAACTTTGTTTGACTCTCTTTAGCGAATTTTCTGCCAACAGTTAGAGGTTTTGCAAGAGCTTCATGAATTTTTAACATTTTGTAGCAATAAATAGATGATCGCAACGAGTAACATATCCTACGGTTAGAGTAGAGTAGTCGTTGAGCCGACCGCCGCCGGCGCCGCATCCTTGGCACGTTTCATCGTTGACTAATTCTTATAGTGTCATGACAATTTGTAAAGATAATTTTGCAAATGTTAACTTTTTAGCCAAAATATAGTTAATGAATGACGAACCAATACGCAGTAGCTTATTAGTAGATGAATGCAGCCTAGTTCTCAGTTTTGGCGACTAACACCAATAGATACTTTGTACTCGTAAGATATTTATATACAATTGACCTTAACAGAGTTACATCTGTCAATTTATCTACAAAGAGAAAAATATAATATTGCGTTTTATCCCCAGAGGCATTTATTTACTGTTGTTTTATCTAACATTACCGCTTTTGTAAATTATATAAATTTTATAGGAGAGATCTATTTTTATTGTGAAGTTAAACTGCTGAATTTAAGCAAAGAAACATTATTATATAAATCAAGAGTTTTTTTTTATCAAAACTGTTAATTAATATATAGTTAAATTATACTGATTTCTGGTATCTATTTTCACCAAAAGTGCTCATCGCTGTCAAAAAAATTAGAAGAAATGCAATAAAGAATGAAGAAAACTGATGTTGTTTTACTGCCTTATATGCTTTTTATTACAGCTCCTATCAACAGGCTACGTATTACTGGCTACTACAAAATTTAAACTATTTTTCTAAAAATCTAAAAATTTAGTTGATTGTTTAAAATTATCAATCAAAAGATTTACAGACATGAAACACTGTAGGGTATTCTATTGTTACTTAATAATTATATTTATTACCTATATATTTACCCGGATACCCAGCTATCATCATACCAAATTTCATCAAAATCTGTCGAGTGGTTTTCTTGTGGTGCATTTCCAGATAGAGAGACAAAAACTTAAAGCTAATTTATAGTTTGAAAACTATAAATTCGCCCTCTGTATCGATAATAATGACTACTTCAATAAGATTAAAAAATATATTTATATTTAATGTACAGATTCAACTCAGAATTATATTATATGTATAGAAGTTAAAACTATAAACATGGTTCTAGTTCGTCATAGTTCTTTGTCTACGAATTTATTTTTACATTATGCATTTACATATTTACACATTTTGTATTTAAATTTTTTTTGAATTTTATTTGAAATATTTTATGACAGACATATCTTGTATTTGCAAAATATCTACTTTTTGGTAAGTTTTGGCATGATTATGAGACCGTAGAGAAGGAAGATGAGTGCACACTGCAATGTCACTCGAACTCTTCAAACAAATTATTTTATTAAAATCTGTTCAGTATAGTATCAATAAGTTAACAAAAGTGACCCCGCTAGAAATATTAAAAACCATATTTTTTAAATAGCATGGGTCTTATAAGTAATAAAAATATATTTCATTGACATTCAAATAAACACGGTATCATATAGAGCCAAGTCGTGTTGTCGAAAAAAGAGCCTAACCCCGACAAAGTTCTAGGCCAAAAAAGTTTTCACCAGCATTTAGTGGGGAGGGCAGAAGGGTGTCAAATTCGAGCGATGCCGATGCGTCAGCCGCCATCTTGAGTTTCAGGGGTGATTACCCTCAATATCTCGGCCATTTTCAACTTTTCGAGAAAAATCATTAAATTAAAATTCCTACAACTTCAACCTTACTGATTTATGATTAATTAAATTGCCAGCTTACTAATAAAATAAAGAAAGTTAAAAATTACCTATAAAAGTACCTAAATAGTTTATTTTACTAAAGTATTTTGGTTATACGTATTTTGCATTTGTATTAAAAACAAAATTAAAAACTATTTTGTATTTAAATATTTTTATAAACTGTTTTCGACCTCTCTGAGAATATCTATAGAATAACTACTAGAAAATCGTCATCTCTAAAATTGATATGGAAAATGATTTTTTTAAGTAGATGTGCATCATTAAAAACATATTTTCAAACTTTCACAATTACATAATCGGATTACTATTATAATTGCGAACGTTTGTATATCAAATGTTTGTTACTTCTTCATGCTAAACCGGCTGGATGGACGAATGAATAAAATTTATGAGAGAGATAGACTATATGACCTGGAATAACACATAGGCTACTACACTATATGTTACACTAGCGACTCACCCTAGCTTTGCTCGGATTCGTCCCTAGCTTGATTCCCCATACAACATTTTCATCCCCATTTTCACCCCTTTAAGGAATAATTTCCGGGATAAAAAGTATCCTATGTCCTTCCCAGGGTCTCAAATTATCTTACCAAATTTCGTCTAAATCGGTTCAGTAGTCCAGAGATTACCCCCTACAACGTCACAAACTCACAAACTTTACCTCTTTATAATAGTAGAGATTATTATTTTTATGATTGGCACCTACATGTTATTTAATATTAAATATTTTATATTTTTTACTAAGAGTAAAATTAAATAGTACCTAATAGGATACGTGTAACTTAAATGAATTTGAAGACTACTAGTAGGTAACAAGAAAATTATAAATTTCAATTGAGGGGGCTATTTAGACGGAATATTTTTGAATAATTATATATTTATAAACAAACAATTTACGGACAAACAATTATTAATAGTGGATAATCAACAAATGAGTAATGACTAACTAACGATATAAAAAAAGTGTGCCGTCACGAGACGCACGGCAGATGGGAAACATCTATTTATGTTAGTATTTTTAATATAATTATTAAAAATCTATAAAGAAGTAAAGTAAAGAAAAAATAGTTTCGTTAATAAAATTAATTAATTTTTCTTATTATTCTAATTATAATAGTTATTATAGAAAATATTATATTCATAAATAAAATAGAAAACATGTAAGTAATTTTAATAGCGACTATTTTACAATGGAGCGTGTATAGTAAACGCGCGCGCAAGCACAAGCGATTCGAGAGCCGGGGCATAGAAGAGGCATGTTTAGAGACGGTTTTACTGCCAAGGCGCGCTAATAGATGTTTGACATCTAAAAAATTAAAAAAAAGTTAGCCGTCACAAAATGTCCAGCAGATATAAAACATCTATGTTAATATTAGAATACATAATTAATAAAAACCTATGGAGTAAAATAAAGAAAAAATAGATTTTCGTAAATAAAATCACTTTATTTTTCTTATTATTTTAATTATAATAAGAATTACAGAACAGATAATTTGTAAATATTTTTAATAGAGACTGTTTTACAATGGAGCGTGTATAGTGTATAGTATACGCGCGCACGGCACGCACACACAATGGACTCGATAGCGCTCGCGTAGAAAGAGCATGATGGCATGACAGCGTCATGCCGTTTGCCGTCACGGCACAAGTTGTTTTTACTGTCAAAGCGCGCCAGTAGATGTTTCATATCAAAAAAATCCTCAGGGAGTTTGGTGAGCCATTGCAGCTTGTGTATAATTAACATTAAATAAAGAATCTCAAAAATATGCCTTTTTGAAATATACTTTTAATATTGTGGTGGTTTAAAAATAACTCTTAAGTGAACAAAAATAAAACAGTGTGCCCTAAAAACAAAATTGAATAATTTTACAGATTATTGAAAAGTCAGCAATCAGGTAATGGGTTTATATAGCATATACAGATAGCGCTTATTTGGTGCTTTTACTTTTTATTATGGAGCGTTCTTCTTACGCCAGCGCCATCTAATTTCAGCATACAGGTGGACAGAGGATACTTTTTCAATTCGTCACCCATAGAGGCGATACTCCTGCTTATATTCTATCTCTACCCTCGGCATACTTTTTATGTGTTGTGTTGCACAGTTAAGAACTATACATTATTTTGCTTGCATCACTCCCCGTTTTTCAATTACAGATCATCATGCCGAACTTTGGCGCACAAACACGAACAACACGAAAAAACACTTCTTATATTTTCTGTTACTTAGTTGCGCGCATCACGCCAAAGCAGTATATTTAAAGTGCTCGATTATGTGGAGCATTGCTGTAGTTGAAAAATTTCAAGTTGAGCATTATGCCGCATAATGCGCTTTAGTGCTGAAATTGGAAAACGCCCACTGTTTGACGTTTTCAACGATTGTCGATTTGACAGTTAACGATGTGGTCTTGCTCGAGTTGAATGTTGATTAATGATTACTGAAGTTCATTTTAACTTTTTGTACTGCGAGTTTTGCATAATTTGTTCATTTTTATTCTTCGTAATACTTCTACAAAAGATGTGCTAACTGAGAATAAATATATTTTAATTTTCACTCTACGTCCTTAAATTTTATTCAGCATGTCTACGCGAAGAGCGAGAATAAAAGCTGTTACCTCGTTGCCACCGAGGAGAAAAAATACCGAGGCACCGGATAAAAGGCAAGAAACAATTTCAAAAGAAAGTTCTGAAAAAATTACGAAAAGCCCTCGAACACCTGAATCTCGCACCGTAGCAAACCAAGAAGAAATTAAATTACCACATGTAAAAAATTCTACCGAATCTTTGATAAATAAAACGACACCGGTTAAAGGCGATAAAAAGCAAAATATTTTAGAAAAGGCCCCAATTCCAGCTGTGGAAAATGAACAAAAAGAGAATAACTCAAGAATAACACAAGGAACTCCTTCGACGTTACAAAATTCATCTAATGCTTTCGCATCACCACTTCATAAAGATAGTCCTAGAAAAACATTTGCCTCTCCAGCAATACCATCTCCTAAAGCTAACAAAAATGTAGATTTACATAAATCAACTGCTCAAAAGTGTACACTTACTCCTATAGCCCAAAAAATTAATGAAAACAATGAACTACAAATTACAGAAAACATTATAAGTAAGATTAGCCATAATAACAGTCTGCAAAAATCTGATGCAATTATTGGTAAGTAACTTAAAAAGATGAATATCTAATTAAACTGTTATAAAATATAGTGAGAGTGAATCTTAAACCATTAATTTTGGATACTTGAATAGTTTATAAAATAGTACTTATATCTATATACATAATATATATCATATAGCATAGATAATGTATATAAAATAGATGACAAATGTGTTGTATAATTGTTTGAATTAAAAAATAGATTGTCTGAATTCAATTAAGTAATTTAGCATATTCTTATATGTAAGTATGGATGAAACCATTGGTGACCTTTAGTATGAAATATTTTGTTGTTAAATAAATATTGCATTATTTTCAGTGAATTCCCCAATTGTGGATAGTTCAAATGATGAAGCAATGGATGGTATTGTTCCTTTACAGCCTGCTACTTTTCCCAAACCTATTGAAATATTAAAGAGTGAAATTATATCTGAAAATGCTGTAGTGTTGTTTGACCCCATTGTACCGCTGCCTTCCCCAAGCAAAATTCGTCCTAAACTTAAACCAGCTCCTAGGTTAGGAATATATAGAAGAAACAGTGTGCAGGTATAAAAATAAAAGTAAATTTAACATGTAATTATAAATATTTCTTTAATGTAAAAGTAAAAGCTATCAATTATGTTAAAATATAATAGTCACAAGAAGTATGACAGAAAACTTAATTTTTTTAAATATTATTATTCTTTAAGCTCTTGAATAATTAACCTTCTTTATATTAGGGAAGTGCAAGTGAATCAGAAGATGAAAGTCGACGGAACCCCCAATACTCAGTTCCATCCAGGCAAAGGCACGATTCACAAAACTCAATAAGTACACAACAATCATTTATTAACAGGTAATTTTATAGTATTCATGTATTAATTTTATATAACCAGATAATGTTTACATTATCTTAATGTCTATGTAAAACAACCAATGTATTCAGCTTTTTTTAACATCCCACTGGGCATGGGCATCCCTTCAATATGAGGGTAAGACAAATGTTAATCATTTGGAAAATGATTTACACATAAAAATACCAGATGTGCGTGACCCAGGACTTGAACCTGTCTAACTCAGTGTCCTGAGAGAGTGGAAGTTACCAATAGGCTACCACTGCCCTAAAAGTCAAAATAACTATAAATAATAATAAATAAAATACATTATTGTGATTTGAATGGTGTTGGTTCATAAAATTTTGTCTGTTTATCATAACACCCAAAGAGGTATATATAATTTCAATAGAAGAAAGACAAAACATTTGGGTAAATACAAATATAGGCATACATTCAATTATATTTTGATGTTCCAGGGACATTAATCGTGTTAGAAATGATTCTGTTTGCTCAACTGTGAGCCAGTTCACTGCCACTGCAGCAATGGGCTCGCCGGTTAAAGAGAAAAACCATAAGTAAGTTGCTGAATGAAAATCATTCACTATTTTGTATTAAAATTTTATTTTTTATGATATACTCTACTAGTAATAATACAACATAATATGTAACAGCTTAAAACTATGATCTTTATGGGAGTCTTTGGACTCTAATATATAGCCTTTATTGAGACGTTATAATATTTTTAGAGTCTAAAAATATGTCTGCATCAACTGTATTGTAAATGTATATTTAACATTACAGTGGTTCGCAATCATATTTTTAAAACTCTTTACAATAAAATCATTAAAATGAATTACTGAGACCATCAAAGGTTTTACTAGTAGACATTGAAGAGTTTCATTATTAACCTCCTTTTATATGATGGGAAATGCATTTATGCATACCACCTGTTCACATACAGGTGGTTATGTGAGACTCACCAGTTAGAAAAGTCAGTGCTACCCACTAAAACCCAACAAAACTTTCCCCCGTCTTAATGGGGCGTCGCAGAATCGCTTACGCACTCAACTACGACGCCCCGAGGGCAGGTCCGAAGCAGACCACAACAACCACGGGGTTGCTCCACAGTCCACTCTGCTATCAGAGAAGTACCAGCAGCAACCCGCATGGTACACTGCCCTCCGAAGAGGGCCACTTCCCACCGCCCACCGAAGTGGGCCACCTCCCTGTGCGTTTTTTGGCTTCGCCACTTTTCTCTAATGCAGCGACGTTATCAGTAATATTAGCCGCACTTTCCTAGAACCCCTCAAATATCAGATGAATAAATAGCTGTTTAACCTACCTAAGTTTCTATGTAGTTTCTAAGTATTCACACTTAAAACAGATGACAGTCATGGCGCAGTCAAATTATGCCGTGTTTTTACAATGAACTAGAGGTCGTGGGGTTCGATACCCGGGGCTTCTTAACGGTAGTCATATAGGCTAATAGAACGGCATTGAGAACCCAAATCCAGCACAAAATATTTTAAAAAATGTGGAGATGAGCATGGTGAGTTGCCCACTAGGGCTAAATGAGTAAAATTAGTTACTAATTTAAATAAAATAAAAATACAGTATATCTATGCAGCAATCTACAGTTAAATATCAAAAGTTTGCCTGTAATTTCAAAATAGCTACCCTACATAATCAATAACCAATCGCCATTACCTCCATACTCTGTAAAGTTATAGAAAGAGTACTTAACAGTAAGTTGCTGTCATACCTCGAAGCTAATGATCTCCTTAGTGACCATCAATATGGCTTTCGCCGGGGACGGTCTACTGGGGACCTTCTTGTGTATGTCACGCACTGCTGGGGCGAGGCCATCGAAAACCGTGGTGAAGCTCTAGCAGTCTCACTAGATATCTCGAAGGCATTTGATAGGGTTTGGCACGCAAGTCTACTGAGCAAGCTTCCTGTTTACGGCATCCCCTCCGACTTCTGTGACTGGGTATCCGACTTCTTAAACGAACGGTCGATCAGAGTAGTCATTGACGGTTGCTCTTCTGATTCAATGACTATTGAAGCCGGAGTTCCACAGGGGTCTGTTCTCTCTGCGACTCTCTTCCTGTTGCACATCAATGACCTGCTTTCGCCAGGTATTGTTGCGTATGCAGATGACAGCACAGTCATAGAGAGCTATGTGTCCGGTGCAAGGGACGGAGGGGTAACAATATGCACTTTGAGAGAGGCCATGGTGGAGCGTACAAATGCAACCTTAAGTCTTGTGTCACAATGGGGTGACGACAATCTGGTTGACTTCAACGCCGCCAAAACGCAGGCCTGTTTGTTCTCTGCAAAAAGGAGTCCATTCAGCCTGACTCCTACTTTCCGTGGTGTACATGTAGAAGTATCCGACAGTCTAGAGCTTCTCGGTATAAGGTTGAAGGCAAACCTTAACTTTGGCGATGACATCGAGTCGAAGGCACAGACTGCGGCCAAAAAACTGGGTATCCTAAACAAGGTTAAGCGATACTTCACGCCTGGACAGCTTCTCACTTTATACAAAGCTCAAGTCCGATCATGCATGGAGTATTGCAGTCACCTTTGGGATGGCTCTGCAAAATACCCGCTCTTGACTCGGTGGAACGCAGAGCCAAAAAGCTAATCGGCGACGAAAAGCTTGTGAAAACTAAGCTTCACAGCTTAGCACACCGTCGCCAAGTTGCTTGTCTGTAGGTTTTCTACAAACTGTACTTTGGGGAGTGTGCCCACGAGCTCCACAGTCTCATACCGCCATCGCCATTCTTCTATCGGAACACCAGACGTACTGCAGGATACCATCCTTTCTTGGTTGACATCCCGACCACTCGCACTAAGCGCTATTCATCATCTTTTATAATGCGCACAGCCAAGAAATGGAATGCCCAGCCTGCGTCTGTTTCCGAGAGCGTACAACCTGAGACTTTTTAAGGTGCGTGTCAACAGGCTTCTCCTGGGCAAACTCGCTACATCATAGACCTTATCTATGCCTTTAAGCTAAGATGAAGGTCAAGAGTGAGCCCATTTTTAATTAAAAAAAAAACATTGCAGTCATATTTGCAAAATGTTAAAACCCAATCAATTATTAAGATTTTTGTCTGCTGCAGAAAAGCTGACCAAATTGTAATGTAATTTTTCTAGCAAATACCCTCGTTGGGTAAACACAGGCTGTTAATTTGGAAAGAAATGATTCCAATGGGATAATAGGTAGAAGAACAGAAATTTCATGATTTTTTTATACAAGGTATAGAGAAGCAAAAACAGGTCACTTGTTCTTATTTAAACTAAAATACTTGATGGATTATGTTACATAGTACATTTCATATTTAATTCCATTGAGTTTAACAATCACACTCAAAAATGTACATATTAATAATACCATATTTACAGGACAAACCGTCGTCAAGAGTCTAGTCGTCGTATGACAGCCATGAGACGGAAGCGCGAGAACGTGAAGAGAGACGCTCTCACCATGTACGACTTGATATTCTGCAATCCTACTAGCAACCCTATTGTGTGAGTACTTACTTCATTTTTGGTTGAATTTTATTAAATCTTTATATGTACTATAAACAATACATAACGACTAAATTAAATTTTAAATAAAACTATCTTTTCGGATTTATTTTGATTTTTTGTTTTCGACGTTTCGTTTTATCGAAAATTATAATAATTATAATAATAACAGCTGAAATTAAATAAATAAGATTCCATGTTCAATTATAAAACTTATTAAAATTATAAAAATGATTAAAATTAACAAATATTGTAAGGTACTTTGGTGTCATTTTTAAATTTTTTGAATTCATTTTGTTATTTTGTGGGTAAGCTGTCTGTAACAACTATGGCCTTCGAGACATCTAAAACCTCAGTCTCTACCGTGACCATGATTGCTGTAAAGCATTTGAAACGCCGGCAACCAAAAGTCAAAATAAATCCGCGAAAAAATCCGAAAACATAGTATTATTTAAAATGTCAAATATTCGCGTAAATCATATTTTATAAACAATAGAAAAAAAACTGATTAAAATGACAACAAAAATATTTACTTTTTAGTTTTTACATACTTACTATAAGTTTCGATTTTGGCTGTTCATTCTCAAAAAAAACAAAAATAATGTTATAATTGAAATTAGCTGTAAAAGTGTAAGATCTCTTCGTTCTCTTTTTCTCTCTTTTTTTTTGTACTCGTTTGTTGTCTCAAGGGTTCATTCTGTCATCAGTTTATGCCAACAAGTTCAGTCATAGGAAAGTTCAAATTAAGATTAAATAAATAAATATGTTGGGACATTAACACACAGCGCCATCTAGTTCCATGATAAGCTGCGAGGCTTGTGTTATGGATACCAGATAGTTGATACACTACACATATATAACTTTAAATACATACTTATTATAAATATAAACACTCATGACTGGAATATAAACATTCGTCATTACTCAAATGAATGCCCCCAGCGGGACTCGAACCCGCGACCGCTGGCACAGCAAGTAGGGTCACTACAAACTGAGCCAAACGTGTCGTCAAAATCAAAGATTATTAATTAGTATAATAGTAGATTAAAATATATTTTTGTCAATTTTAGGCCAGATGAAGAAGAAATAAACGTAAAGAAGGCAAATGAAAAAGAAGCTCTAGAACAAAGAATAAAAAAAGAGCGACCATTAAAATTAGAAACTCCAGTGGAAAAGGCAGCTCCTGTACCTCAAATCAAATTAGGACCAAAGGGGGAAATTGTAATTGATGAAGAGAGTTTGGTGAGTCTTGTTTAGTTTATTAATAATAAATAGAATGAAAATCATTAACTGGCATAAAACAAATGCTCCAATTATTTTTACTTTTCATAGACTAATGGAAGTCTATTTTTATAGGAAAAGATAACTCGGCTAATATAATTTTCAATAATGCCAATCTCTAGGATCAATATCATGCTCAATCAAGGCAGAAGGACTAAAAATTCACTCTTCAACTCGCTTGGCTCGGGTTAACCTCTAGGAAAACAAAAACAAACCTATCCCACAGGAACCGTACATTTTTCCGAGATAAAAATAGTATATGTGTTATTCCAGGCTATAATCTATCTCTGTGCCAAATTTCATCCAGATCCGTTCAGCCGTTCTGGCGTGAAAGAGTAACAAACATCCATACATATTCACAAACTTTCACATTTATAATATTAATACTAATATGTAACAATTTCTAATTAATTTTCAAATAGCAACCCTCATAAACATTTTCTCAGCTAATGAATAGCATTTTAGAATGATTTTTTTTTTACATCCAGGTATTTATCAGTCCTTTCAACTATCTTCAAATGCCTAATAATAAAAATATATAATAATTAGAAATGAAACGGTCAGTTATTTAGCCAAATAATGCATAGCCAAATAATGAGCTTTAAGGCCGGATGGCCTGAATCCGACTGCTGGATACGTTGAATGTTGCGACAAGTTTAGTGCCGCAATAATATTGCATAATATGTATATATATATATATATATATATATACATATTATGCAATATTATATATATATATTTGGCCTAATGTACAATTTAAATTACTGACCATATTTTGTGTGGAATAATGCAAAGGAAAACTGCATGAAAATTCGAAAACACGCGTTTTCTCAGACATAAGACTAATCTAGATCGATTTATCGCCCCTAAAACTCCCTGCATACTAAATTTCATGAAAATCGTTGGAGCCGTTTCCGAGATTCAGATTATATGTATACAAGAATTGCTCGTTTAAAGATATAAGATAAGATATATAAATAATGAATATACGCCATGAACGTATAAATGTAACAAAATATGACCTGCTTACACCTGACTGCGAAGAGCTTGCGGCCAAGTGCGCAACGGCAGCTATCACTTTCAAGTTCTCTACGTATATTTCCGTGAACTGGAGTATAATTTATTTTAAATAACGAGTACATTGATTTTGTTCCAAAAAGTCAATTATTATTAATTTAATTAAATATACTAGCGAGCACGTTTTAATAGGCACCCCGGTCAAAATATATTGTCCCTTTTATTATTGTATATAAAAAAAAGATTTCGATTAAATACCCTATGAACGTCGCAATCTTGTAGCCGGATCTTAGTCCATAAGCTTGTGTTATGGATATCAGATAATTGGTACACTACACATATATACCAACTTTAAATACATACATTTTATAAATATAAACATCCATGACTGGAGTACAAATATGCGTGCTCATCACACAAATGAATGCCCCCAGCGGGACTCGAAACCGCGACCGCTAGCACAGCAAGTAACGTTACCACAAACTGAGCCAAACGTGTCGTCAATATATATAACATATCTAATTTTATGGAATAATTAGCTGGGGGCAGTGGGACTCGAAACCGCGACCGCTAGCACAGCAAGTAGGGTCACTACAAACTGAGCCAAAATTTTCGATTGGCCAATTGGTCGATCGGACATTTTTAAAACATTGCAATTTGCAGGTGATAAAACAAACGGACAGCAACCGCGCTGTGTCGTCGGTGGTGTACGAGGGCGGCTGGGGCGTGTCGGGCGCGGGCTTCAAGTACAAGCGCGGGCCGCGCACGGCCGACTGGAGCGCGCCCGAGACCGTGCGCTTCTACCGCGCGCTCGCCGCCATCGGCACCGACTTCTCTCTGATGGCGCCCCTGTTCCCGGACAGGACGAGGAGAGAGCTCAAGCTCAAGGTATTTTTCCCCGTTTCTATTTCTATTTTATTTATATTCACTAAAAATGGAGTTGATAAATACTCCCTTTTTTAGGCCAGACAAATGGATAAAATGGAACCAGTAAAGAAAGAAAGTCGTAAATTAAGTCCTCCAACACCCAGCCGCCAAAATCACCAAAACTTTTGACGTGTTAAAATGTTAAGTTAAAATTTAATGTTATAAAATAAGATACTAGAACTTAGAAGTTTAAAAATATTTTGAAATTGAAAAAGATGTATGGAGTACTTTTTGAAATATGGGATATTTTCCGTTTCACGCGTTCGAACGCAATGTTAAGTTGGTTTCTGATAGTAATACAAATTATTTTAATGTAACATTTTATACATATTAGTATATTGAAATAGAACAAAATTATTGTTTCATGCTATGGAATTCTCAGTATGCGAGTTAGACTCACACATGTCCAATTTTTAGTACAATTACGAAAAATCGGCGTTTCCGCGTGAAGGAACGACAATATATCATTTTCACTTCACATTTTGGTGTCTGTATTTCTATTTTTTGTTTGTACATTTGTTTTATTTGGAATGCATATAGCACTAGATTTCACCCTTAAGATGAGATTAGATAGATAGAATCGGAGAAGAGCTTAAGTTTAAAATTATTTTATACTAACTTTTATATTTCATTTCTCCGTCTTGTTTATATTTGTATTAACTACCATATATGGATATTTATTAATTACTAGCATTGCCCGCGGCTCCGCCCGCGTTCAGATGACCAAAAACCAAATTCTTAGGTTTTACATATTGGTACACTCTTACATTGGAGTTTTTGTAGTTTTTCTCAGAAATGAGATATTTTCCCGCGATGAAAAGTATCCTATATGTTGACCCAGATAACCAGCTATCGCCATACCAAATTTCAACAAAATCCATCCAGTGGTTTTGCTGTCATGCGGTAACAGATAAACAGACAAAAATTCTAAAAACTATAGATTCGGTCTCTGTATCGATAATAATGTTTATTTTAAAAAGATTTTCCAAAGAATATTTAATGTTCAGATTCGGCTTAGTTACAATTTTATTATATGTATAGATTATTTAGTGTTTTAAAATTTCACCAAATTATCAGTAATGGTTTAGATGCAAAGCCATTCTCAAAAGTAAAAAAATATACTATTAATTCATTTTAACCAAATCTTTCGACCAGTTTAAAAAAGAAGAAAGAATTAATGGCGCCCAAGTGGATAAGGCCCTCCGTGCGACCATACAATGGGATGTGATGCGTCTGAAAGAAGAATTTAAAGAAGAACGTGCAGCCGCCGCGCAGAGAGCGGAGAGGGAGAAGGAGAGGTTGCAGGAGCAGAAAAAAGCCGAGAGGGAGCGGCTAAAGGCCACGAGAGAACAACGTGTACGGAGAAGTAAGTTAACTTTATAAATACATTAGAATCGGGAACTTCAAACACTAATTATGTTTTCCATGAATAAAAAATAGTTGTCTTTGCAATATATTATATAAGCTACCAATTTGGCAGCATTAAAATAAAGGCAGCAATATCAGATGGTTAATTACAACTTATTTCGAATATATGTATATTACTAGAAACTTACAGACACCACTTTGTTATTTTTAATGTAAAATTTTTACTCTTCTGATTTTGACTTTTTTGACATAATAATTAGTCTTGTAATCAATATACTACAATTATTATACATAGATTTTACATTTTTTTATACTTAAATATAAACTGCATTTAATTTAACAAGAAATAAAATCTGCAGGTAGAGGAGGAAAGGCACTCGAAACCGCAATATTGCCAGGAGCATCCAATGATACACATCAAATTGCTGTCACAGCTGATGACATACTTCAACGAGCAAAACAATCCAATCAAAGAAAACGAAAGCTCAAATCGCCTGAAATAGCAACACCAGTCACACCAAACCTGGCATCACTGGCGCTTGTTAATAAACAAAAAGAAGCAGAAATAATGTCTAAAATGGTAACACCGAACTTCCACTTAAAAACACCGGAACCTGTAAATGTTTCACAAATATCACAAATACCGTCGAATATAGAAAAGGGATCTTTAGTTGTTCTAACAGTGAACGATCCATCCTCGCCTGCTAAAAAGATGCTTCAAACGTATGTTGCTCATGGTCCTGGGAAGTTAACTCCAGTGGCTTTGCCAGCGACATTCCTGAACTCTGTCGTTGGTTATATGAAGAAAAACACACCTAAAGGTGCTTCCACACTGTCCCCGCAAATAATTTCGCCAAGTAGTGTAGCAAGTCATGATAGTAGAACTAGCAGTACTAGTGGTATTTCATTACTACAAAGCCCTGTGAAACGTCAGCGGCATAGCTCTTATACAATTACTCAGCTTTAACGTTTACCCTATTGTGGTATAAGTGTTTTTATTTATTCAAGGTTTGTTTAAACATCACTTTTATTAATCACAGGGAGAGCTTTGTGTGTAAGAACTTTTAATAGTGCATCAATTTTTTTTTATTTCAATCAATATTGGTTGTAAAAGAACATGATGTTTTTCATGAACATGATCTTGTCAAGCTCTTCCTCTATTTAAGTCTATATAATGGTAGTAATATCCAGGGCTACCAGTAGAGCCAACTGCAACCAGTAGAGCCAACTTATATATTTTCTACCGCTGCATCACTGAAACTATACCAATCAAATTTTATTATACAAATGTCTGTGACAAATAAAAAAATTCAACATAAAATACGTAAAAACTTAAAATGAAATATACATAAGATAACCATATTTTACAATTTTTATATCCAGTTTTCGATCTGGCAGCCCTGGTAGTATCATGCTGGCTTGTTAAAATTGTAAGATTATAATCAACAGCACACTACAATACATTTACATGTCTAGTATGGAGGATAGAAGTAAGGAGAACGATCTTATATCGGAAAAGGTTGAAAAAGTGTCCAGTGTTGAGTAGCAAATTGTAATTCAGAAACTCACCGATATAGCGCCAGCGTAGCAAGAGGAAGTGACATGAATTTAGCGGTTTTAAATGGAGTGAAGTTTGTTGAATTTAAAAATGTATCTGCTGACCGGTGTAGTTAATAAAAAAATAAAAAAACCTCAACTAACGTAGTCCAAAATAATTTAGTAAATATACATTTTTAAATTCATCTACTTGTTTTCTGTGGCGCCACCAATTTGATGCTTGTCAGCGGTCACTTTTTTACACAGAGATAGTTCTCCTTACTTCTACCCTCCATAATGTCCGGTGCTTCCATTACATCTGATCAACTAGAAAAAAAAACTATAAAATATCATTCTTAAAGCCTTTTTGTATTATAGACTGAATAAATTCATCATTATGGTCTTTAAAACAGATCTGCAAAAAATTTAGAGCATAAATATTATAATATTTTCATAAATTAAGTAATATAATATGTATATTAAAAAATGTATTCTATCCGATTGGATTATAAACCACAGACATTTATAACAAAAAAAAATGTTAATCGTTGAACAAATGTTCTCGCCAGATATAACTTGTATTATTGTAGTGTTGCCAGTGCAGTGCAGTTTTTCAACACCATATTTAGCTAATGTGATTAATCATAGTTTCTTAAAGCAAATCACTGATAGTTGTCAGCTAAAAGCATGTTTATTGAAGTTATACTTCTTTTGGCACGTTTGGAAAAAAATATAAAAATAAAATTTTTACGATGCGCGCACACACCGACGGCAAAAAAGCGACATGATGAAGTTAGCTGCATTCCTTTTACAAACGGGGAGTTGTGACTGTGACATACGGGATGAAATCTTTAGCTATTTTTGTTCTGTTACGCCAAAGAAGTATAAGTTTTTACGTGCGTACATAAGTACACACACAGGTTTTTTTGATATTTATGTGACAGCCCAACGAGAGGATTCTATAGTACATAATATAATATCAACTACATTAAGATAAGTATTATATTAAAATGTAAGTTTAAATCGTCATAAAATTGAATGAAATATGCCAAATTTGATTTGGAGAAGCATTCGATCTGTGACTGGAGTAAAAGACTGATTTACATAACTCCAACAATGATATCTCTAATATCTATACTACCTATTCTTCATCCGAAGTCGTGAGACATTTTTTAAAAAAGAGCAATAAAATGTTAACTGCTATAGCTTCTAAATTTAAATGTGTAAATTATGTATTTTTTGTTATCTGTAGTGTATAATACTTATAAGTTGTTATAATTATATGCAGGAAAATTGATGTATTTTCTTTTATTTCCTTATAGTTATAGTTCCGTATAAATAGATCGATATTATCTTATTATTATTATTATCGTATTTCTTATACGATATTTTATACTATAGCATTTGGACAAGTTGATACATACTTGTTAACATTAATGAATATGAAGAAACTTAAATCCATACTTATCCCTACATATAATAAAATTGTAACTAAGCCGAATCTGTACATTAAATATTTTTTTGGAAAATCTTATTGCAATAGACATTATTATTGATACAGAGAACGCACAACGGACCAGAAGAGAGTCTAAATGCGGAAAACGAGTCCACTTTACATTGATACAGAGACTGAATCTATAGTGTTTAGATTTTTTATCTGTCTGTCTGTAACCGCAGGGAAAAAGCACAGGAGGGATTTTGATAAAATTTGTTATGATGATAACTGGTTACCAGGGTCAACATATAGGATATTTTTTACTGCGGGAAAATATCTCATCTCTGAGAAATCTATAGGTACTAAACGTTAAAACGTATGTAGGGACGAACCAGAAACCGAAAAAGGTTTAATATTATGAATGTGTGATGTCTGTCACGTTTTAACATATAAACCACTGAACCAATTTTGATGAATTTTGGTATAGAGATAGATATAATTGAAGAAAGACATTGCTACTTTTCTTCGCGAAAATAAAGTTTGAAGGAGATGAAATGAAAGTCCTATGTTTTTTGCAGTTAGAGACATAACGATGATTTATATATTCTGGTATTATTATTTAAAGAAAATAAAGAGATAATGAATATCAAGAGAAGCTAGTGTGAGAATATCATAATGAGGGCTCGATTCTGATGGCATTAGCTCGCCACTGGCGAGTGAGGTGCTATCCGATGTCGTTGAAAAGTATTTGTTAGTGCGGTAGGGCCAATAAATTTAATATAATAATTATAAGTGTTATCGCGAAAGCAGTTCTGTCAGGATTTTACATAATTAACCATAACCAAATAAAATATTAACATTTTCTTACCTCTTCTTTAAAACCAATAAGATTTATTGTGTCGCACTGTTTCTGTCATAATTAATCGGGAATGGCATAATCTTTACAAAAATCATTATTGTTAGTGAAAATTCGCGATAAAAAAGCTAACAGGAAACGTTCAGCACCGTTTGACATTTCTAGAGACGTCACTACACTAGCGTTCTCTCGCAGCAATTCAGGCGCGGTAGCCACTATATGCAAAAGACGCATATATGTATGTTTTTTTTTACTTATGACCTTGAAGGTTAATCTGATAAATTATATTTGTTTCCTGGTGGAATAAGATTATAAACTGCTAATTAAAATACCATTACAGACTTCAATCACGTTGCATTACGCATGCTCCGTGTATCTGTTTCTGTTAGTCTAAGCAGACCATATTAAAGAGGGGTAAATATTAACAGAATAAAAAAAATCTTATTAAAATTTTATTATTTATATTTGCTTATGCACAATAACTTATAAAAATACACGTTATATTAGATATTTAATGAGCTTCAATGATATCACCAAACCACTGTGATGATTCGAGCGCGTCCCACAACGACAGCTCGGGGTCAAGGAATTCTTCATTCATTTGATCAACGTCGATTACTTTTTTATGATCTGTAAATTATCAATATTAATTATTAATTTACAATTAAGAAACTTTTGACAGACTAGTAATTTCAATCGCCAAAACATCAACTCTCTTGGATGTCTCAGCTTATACTATATACATATAATAAAATTCTAACTTAGCCGAATCTGTACATTAAATATTTTTAGGAAAATCTTATTGAAATAAACATTATTACCCATACAGAGGCCGAATCTATAGTTTTTAGAAATATTGTCTGTCTGTTACCGCATCACAGAAAAACCACTGGAGGGATTTTGATGAAATTTGGTATGGTGATAGCTGGTTATACGGGTCAACATATAGGATACTTTTTACCGCGGGACAATGTCTCATTTCTAAGAAAAAATACAAAAACTGCAATGTAAGAGTATACTAATATGTAAAACCTAAGAATTTGGTTTTTGGTCATCTGAACGCGGGCAGAGCCGCGGGCAATGCTAGTCAATTGCTAAATCTGTATTACGTGCCTAAATGGCACTCCTATAAGCCACAGAACAAAGAACATAACACCAATAGCTAAGTATTATATTTGATCGATTTTATATACAAAATCTGTCAAAAAATACTACTTGGCAACTGCAGTTTCTGCACACGACTCCGCTCGCGCACTAAGTGCCTCAATCAAAAATAGCGTATCGTCCCCTTTCTGTGTAAACCTCGTAACTCCATTTTTTTCGAAATTGAGATTTTTAGCGAAAATCACTCCTTAGCACTCTTGTAACGTAAAACAAAACATGCAATGTCCATAATGTTGATAGATTTTTTTTTAGAGGCTTTTGATTTTTCTCGTATCTACATGTTCGAATTCAAAAACCTCGTATCTACCGTAAGTATCGCTGAAAACGTTAAGATGGCGTTGTTGTCTTATTACTGAATGTTTGTAAACATGTTCACACTTAAGTTGACTGTATTTTGTTGATTGACATTTATTTTTTATTCATATGAATACATATAAGTATTAATATAAACCATAAGTAAGTATTATTTATTTAAATACTTAAAATTTCTTTTTTAAATAAAAATCATTTATAGAATTTTTATTTCACATCAAGTAAATAAGAAATAAAATTATTGTTCAAGTTATTTCTTATTACTTATTTTTCAGATTATCCTGCTGTTAATTTGTACATTATTCAATAAATTGTAAACATATTTGAAAAAAACAATTAAATCATATTATAAATAGTAATCATATGATTTATAACACATTAAATCAAAATCAAATTAATTTGTTTTAATTAATAAATATAAAATAATAATGAATTGAATGTGAAAGCCTTGCATAAAAAATTTTTTCGCCAATGATCTTATAGAAAAAAAAAATTAATTTCAAAACCTCGTATCTGCAAAAAAGTTACCAGGGTATTTGATGAAAAAACTCGTATCTACGTTAAATTGATAATAACAACAAGGTATCGATGCAGATAGCAAAAATGATGTTTAATTATTTTAAGGTGATAAATAAAGAGTATAAATTTTAAATTAGTTATAACTTTTTATGAAAATTAAGTAACTCTAAACGTTTTTATCGATTTACTGAAAATTAAGATTTTGTAGATACGAGGTTTACACAGAAACGGGACGGTATGTATTTTTTATGAATAACACTGGCCCGAGAGAATTTGTCCTATTTTCCTAATACAAACGTATTTTTTTAAATAGCCAAATCAGCCTTTCTCAAGTGATGTGCTTATCAACGAATAGCATTTCATTTGTATTTATGTAGAAGATATAGTTGGAAGGGGTGTCATTAAGGAGATAAACCGCTATAGGCTTGGTACCTAACACCACAAATGATTTAATCATCCCATCGCATCAATTCTTGGGACGCTTGAATCGCTATTCTTTGGACTATTTTTGTTTACTTGAAAAGATAATAATAGATGTTGTTATCTTGCAAACTGTCGAACTGTTTTATAATATTATAAATATTTCAAAAATCATTCTGAATTGAACTAAACAGATTTAAATGATTTTAACTGTTTTTTAACATTAATATACAATTCATAAACAGTAAAAGCGCCATGTGTGAATATGCATTAAAACCCTTTATTTGATTTTTGAATCATTAGTAAGATTACAGAAATATATAAATGGATTTGTACTATCTTTATTATCTTGTTTTAATAAAATTTAACTCAGTACTTATATACTAACAGGGCGTTTTATACGAAACAAAGAAAAATTAGTTCAAATAAATGTCAACAGATGGCATTACATGTATCGATTTGTTACTGAAGTTCGTAAATTTTTTTAAAACACATTATGACTTAAAAAAAATCATAATGTACATTTTTCATAAGTATTTATGACAGTAAATTTGATATATATATATATATATATATATATATATATATATATATATATATATTTCATATTATTCATTCTCTTAGAGTTTTTTTTTAATTTAAGTTCTGCTAATACATTAGTACTAAGTTAACTTTTATTGAAACAAGATAATAAAGATACCTAGTACAAATTCATTATATTACTCATATGTAATAAAAAAAAATCTAGACAAAAGACATTACTTACCGACAAGCGCTAGTTCGTCGCTTTGCACTTTTGCTGCCACTTGCGTATCGACCACCGGTGCTGTCTGCACGCTCTGGTCACCCTGCCCATAGTAACCCGACCACGCTGAGTAATTTTGCCAATAGGCTGACGGATCATAATAATGGTTGTACTCCTATAATTATAACTGCATATCATTATTTCATGTCTCAGGTGTTTAGACTAAATATTCAAATACTTTAAAGTAAGCAGTTCCATAAGCTAATTCTTCGGCTACGAGTTAAGCTGTTATAATAGCGGCGCGGCTAATGAAAGACATGACAAAAAATGATTTTTTTTTTGTTTTTCTATGTAAATAAATGAATAGGCATGGTTGCAGCTATATTTATAGTACAAGAGTCACATAAAAAATTAGGCTGTGATAGTGTTTTATGATAATAAATGAAAAAATGATATACTTTAATTACTGCTACTAAAATAAATCTGTTTATGAAAAATCATAAAAAATATCACTGCCTAAAAGCTAGGAAAAAATTAATGCAATAGTAAATGAAACAAGAAAATAATAAAAATGAATAAATTAGTAAAAACTAAGCTTTCACTAATTATTCAAATGAAATGTATCATATAAGCTATAAATACATGCTAATTGCAAAAAAAATGAAGATAAAAGGACTCAATTTTTCAAACAAATTCATAGTTAATAATAACATTGCAAAAGTAACCTAACTTAGCAATATATTTAAAGATATAAATGATTAAAAATGTGAATAGTTATAATAGTCATAAAAAATCAATTTATAGGTTTAGGTTTTAAAGACCATATCTAAATTTTTTATAATAAAAATATCATAAATGAAATATAATGTATTCCAAACATGAATATAGTGGGTATTTTTATTAAAACTACATTTTATATTAGAATTATAAAACAAATGTTGAATATCTTTGTTAAAAAATTAGTCCTCTTGTATAATAGATAAAATATTTTTGTAAAATTCATACCGTCCCACTGCTGTATGTTGCTGTAGTTGTGACTGGTGTTGGTTGGTTTTGTGTTGTTACTGCTCCTTTAGGTTTAGGTACTGCAGTGCATATCTTTAAAGGCTTAGTACCCAGACCTGTATACCCATTCATAGCATAGAGTGCATTACGCTGTTCATCCTCATTACCAAACCTAACAAATCCATAACCCTTAGTGTAACCAGAACTATCCAGGATAACTAAAATATTTTTAATGTTATATAATTAGATAGTAATGTTATATAAAAAATTAAATAAAGTATATATATTTTACGAATTTTACATATAATTTAATTTAATGCTTTTCAGAAGTTACCTTTGGCTGTTTTTATTGAAGAATATTTGGCAGCAAAAACTCTGTATAATGAATAATCATCTACTTCAGGACTAAGATCTCCAACCCATACTGAAAATTCTCTTTCCTGCTGCATATTTGCACGAGCTTCTCTTGAAGCTGTGTTAAGTCTAAATCGAACTACAGGAAATGTGCCAGGTATAGGCTTACCATTTAGTTTATGCATAGCATCTATTGCTTCTTCATCAGTCTATAATTAAGATATTATAATATGTAAATTGAATAGTATGAATGCAAAATGAAATAATGTACCTACATAATATCTTGAACAAACCTGAAAGTGTACAAATGCATAACCTGCTGGTTCACCAGTAAATTTATTCCTCATGACCTTCACGGCCAGTGGACGCTGTCCCATCCGATGAAATGCAGCCATTATAAAACTTTCTGTCATATTTGGCTCCAACTAAATTTAAAAAAATCCATACTAATATTATAGATGTGAAAGTTTGTAAGGATGGATTGATGTTTGCTGCTCTTAAACGCCAGAACGGCTGTACAGATCAGGATGAAATTTTGCAGAGATAGATTATAGTCTGAAATAACACATAGATTACTATTTATCCCCGAAAAATGTATGGTTCCCGTGGGACAGACTTGTTTTTGTTTTTTACTAGAGACGAACCCGAAGCGAGGGTGAGTCGCTAGTCACTAATGTGTGTATGCGTTTATGTTTGTTACTCCTTTACACTGAAACCACTGAACAAATTTAAATGAAATTTAGTACACAGGTAGACTATGACCTGGTGTAACACATAGGCTACTGCTGTTAGACATCTAGGACGCATCCGAGCAGGGCGCGGATAAGTCGCTAGTTTTTGGATATTTTTAAATCTGATATTATAACAATACTTACACTGCCCATCCATAGCTGGCATTGCATAGCCATTTTTTTTAATAATGTTAAGTGTGTGATATTTAATGATATCTATAGATTTTACAATATTTGATATATATTAATATAAAAAGTAATAAGCTTCGACTGTTTGGTATTTTTCAGTTTATCATGTGTCAAATCAACACATGAAAATGTCAATTTTTATTTGTCATACATGATGTTTATTGTAATATTATCAATGTCAAATATGTTTATACCACAGGTAACAAATTAGAAATACACAATCTACACATATCTATACACTAGCCGAACCCGCGGCTCCGCCTGCGTTCAGATGACCAAAAACCAAATTCTTTAGACAGACAAAAATTCTAAAAAGTATAGATTTGGCCTCTGTATCGATAATAATGTTTATTTCAATAAGATTTTCCAAAAAATATTTAATGTACAGATTCGGCTTAGTTACAATTTTATTATATGTATGTATAGATACATAATACAAAATTTATTGTGTAATCGAAATTTATTTTAAAATATATCCAAAAATAACATTAATAATTGAATTAATAGTATAAAAAATGTTTTAAAACACAACAAAATCGAAAGTGCATAATATTTAACACCATTCAGACAAAGAAAGACAATAGCATTCCCAAGGAGGGTTGACGTCAGGCAGGCGGCCGGTCGTAAAACTTTTGCCAAATCCTATCAGCAGTACACTGAAGGTGTACTGCGCCGACCCCAAGTGATTTGGGAAATGGGCAGGGAGAAGAAGAAGTATGTATAGATATTAAATTTATCTATATACATTACTGTCATAAAAACAGATTTAATAATAAAACAGTGTCTTTGTATGAATGCCACTCCGATCACTCTCGCTTTCCCGATTACCCTGATTACGCCAATTATAGTCATCTTATTGCTTTGGACCACAAGTTCTTCAGTTTTTGTTTTTTGGGAACAAATGATATCCATTTTCTTTGCATCCTAGCATCGCACAATTTGTCATTTTAAATAAAAAGAAAAAATCTACCCACATAAAGCTTTACAATATACAGAGGACTAAAGTGATCACGACATCTGACGGGAGAAAAGGCAAAATTCTTCCCCATTCGTTATATTCTGTAGTTGCCATAGTGTTTTTTTTTTATTTTAATCTGTAAAAACTAAAAAGTAAAAACTAAAAATCATGGATGACAAATAAATGCTAAAAATGTAGATATGTGACGTGTGAAAAAATAATTTCCTTTTTTTTTAATTTTATAAATTGTTGTAAGGAAGTTAATTTTAAGTTAGGAACTTATTTTATTTCAAAGCATTTATAATCTTTTGGCCAGACGTAAAATATAGATTTTTATTATGTCTCGACTAGATAATATTGATGCATTGGAAAAACAATTAGAGGACTTACAAATGGCAAAAGATTTAAATTCATCAACTAAAATTAAAAAGATACCACCAGCTGTGCCACCAAAAAAGAAAGCACAACCACAAGTTCCTCATAGTGCAGTCGTCAATTCAGTGTGTGAACCGTCTTATTCTGCGAAGATAACTCCGCTACAAAACTTTCAAAATAATGCTGCACCTCCACCACCACCACCTCCTCCACCAACATACAGTAATATACCAAGACACCCAGTCAATGTACACCCTTTGCATAAAGATTATGCTAATGTAACACAGCTATCACTACCTAATCATTCATTACGTCATAATGTTATGCCTCCTAAAAGTTTTAGTACAGTCTACACCAATGTTTATCAAAACAGTAATCCACCACCACCACCACCTCCCCCTCCTCCGTTAAACCTCACTCAAACTATAACATATGATACAAATCAAAATGAAGATTTCATTCCCCCTCCATCTCCAGTCAGCTCAAACTACAGTGAACTTATGAGGGCTACTGCTAACATAAATTTCAATCATGACCGGCCAACTTACCCAGTTATATATCAAAATGAGTATCCTGAATATGGTGAATCACAAGCTTCAACTTATGAGTCACTGTATGAACCTATTAACCTACACCCTACATCTAATTCAGGGCAAACCATCAATAACCAAACTTCTATAAACAAACTGGGACCTATGGGAAAATCTCCTCTGCCAAAAGAAGAAGAGGTTGATGCATTAACTAATATGTTAGTTCAGTCCATATCAGAGAGTCAAGATTTAGATGTTCTCGGCACATGTGTCAAATGTGACCAGAAAGTTCTAGAGGAAAGTTCAGGCTGCACTGCTATGGGGAATATGTATCATATTCAATGTTTCCGTTGTCATCGCTGCAGTATAAATTTACAAGGTAAACCTTTCTATGCAGTTGAAGGGAATCCCTATTGTGAAGTAGATTATCGTGAAACTTTGGAGAAGTGTTCTGTTTGTAACAATCCAATATTAGATAGAATATTGAGGGCTACTGGAAAACCATACCATCCAACATGTTTTACATGTGTTGTTTGTGGAAAAAGCTTAGATGGTATTCCATTCACTGTGGATGCTATGAATCAGATTCATTGTATTGAAGATTTCCATAAGAAATTTGCACCAAGATGTTGTGTATGTGAGCTACCCATAATGCCTGAAGAAGGAGAGGAGGAAACTCTACGAGTGGTGGCCTTAGATCGTAGCTTTCATGTGCGTTGTTACAAATGTGAAGATTGTGGATTACTTTTGTCTTCAAAGGTCCCTGGGCGTGCTTGCTATCCACTTGATGATCATATTTTGTGTAAAGCATGTAATGCTCATCGTATCCGCATGCTTACAAATGTCATGACAACAGACCTTTAAAATTTTGTTCAATATAAAAAAAATAATATTATAGGAGCTTTAACCTAAAGGATAAACATACTGTCATTAGTTGAAATAATTAGGATTTATGACAATGGAAAGCATTGACATATATTAAATTTTATATTAATATGACAAAGTAATATAGTGTTTTACATTGCCATATTATCAATATACTTATAAATATTATTTTTGCATATTATATAATATAAACATATTATTTAAGATATACATTTTGTCATATTTTCATACATACAGGCAATTTGTCTTGCCATTTAATGAGACATTGTGTTATATATTATAGTAATTGCTTTTATTAAAGATAAGTGATAAAGATATATAGTAATGAAAATGTTTTATAGAAATGATTGGTATAGATAAAAATTAAAAATATGTATACATATTTATCAAAGGCTACATCAAAATAATTTTGATATAAACATATTGCCAATGAAGACTGATGTGGTAGCAATATCTTGCATTTTAATAGAAATATGATTAAAGGTCCAAAATCAATAATTATGTGATAATTTTAGGTTTAAACCATATTATAATTTATAAAATGTAAAATAATTTATTTGAGTGCATTATAAATGCTTTAGATTTATATATTTAACAAATAATTTAAACACAGTTTTTTTTTTACAGTCAATTATAATCTATAATTAGAGGGCAGCTGTAACATTCTATTTCATTAATTATGGAATAAATATTTTAAAGTAATTATATCTTTTACTTCCTTTAAACCTCAACAAAAGCAAAGGCTCTCCATTTATGATCAGAATTACTTGAAACTTGATATTAATGCTTTTGAATACAATTAAATAAATAAGTGTTTTAGCATTTTTCCAAATTCATCCCATAAGAGGGTAAAAACATAGAGTATATTGCTACATATATAAAGGGTAAAATAGGGGATGAAAGTTTGTATGAAATCTATCTTTTTAGTTATTTTTGTAATTTTAGCGCGAGCGAAACCGCGGGTTCTGCTAGTAAATTATAAATACATGCATTAGTAATAAATCTGCTCTGAAATACTGACTACTCTTAAACTGCTTTGGTGATCTAGTGGCTAGCTTGTACCGCTGCAGATTCATAGGTCCTGGGTTCAAGTCCCGGGTCGGGCCAAGTTTAGTTTCTGTAAAGAAAATCTCTGCAACAGCCCCGGAGTTTGGAAGTTGGCGGTGTTTTACTCGCTTGTACTAGATCTTTCATCGCGAGAATTGAATTGTATTCCCGTTGGGAGTATGAGTGACATTAATGAAGAGAGCACTTTGTGTATTCGCGTACATTATACTCTCCTGCGCAGTTCCGCAGAGGCTAGACTCACTGGGAATGGCCAAGACCGAAATCGAACAGGAAGATAAACTTAATTATCAAATAATTAATTCTAATGTTACATTTTTAAAATGGCACTCATAACAATACATTTTTATCTATTTAAAAATATAAAGGTGAATTCTTCTAGGAGAGGTGGAAAGCTTAATCTGATTTTTTCTAAAGGATAACAACAATGGGATTACATACAGTTTTATTCTGTACATAAAAAGCTACAAAATGTACAATACTGGCAGAAAATACAATAAAAATAAAGGCTTTTACATCACAGTCTAATATTTTTTGGAATGCTCGTAAATCAAGTTAATAAACGAAAAGTTTAAGTGTGTTCGTGCAATTCACTCACGGTAGAAGTGAAACTTCTTTGGCAAATATCGCAATTAAATTAAAACAAATCAATAATTAATCCCTCTACGACCGCGGACACGCCGGCGTGTCAGTGAACAAAAGATTTCTTAGAAATTTACCTGGAGGTGTTAAATATGGCATGTTAGGCATATTACAATCATAAATTTATAGAATATCCAAAAAATATATAATATTATATTATTTGTCAGACAACGGTTACTATGGCAACATTGCAATGTATTCTATCTCATTCTCTCGCCGGCTTGATCCTATTTATGTGTTTGTCTCTTTTTAGTGTCGCATTTCCGTTTCATCGAGTTTCAAATCGATTCTAAAGAAGTTTCACTTCAAAAATAATCGGAATAATATACATTTTTGAAATACACCGCTGAGCTCTGAGGTTTTAAATATATGTATATCAATTACACATACAGATCTTGAACCAACCAAAACATATTATAACAAAGGTTCTAATTGCTACAATGGCGCTAGTGTAGTAAGCTAGTAGGTACCTATTTCTAGAATATATTCAAAATATAATATACTATAAAGTACCCAGTCGAAGTATGGTTAATGGTATGAGAATAGCACAAATAATTTTTTGAACAGAAAATTTAAGGTACCCTTTATACACAAAAATACTTTTCATGTACACTACTTTACTTTACATGTATACTATATTCATTATTTAGACAAAATTATAGCTTTTATTGAAGGTCTATTAGCCAAATGATACATTGAATGAACAAATCGGTGTTTTTCTGGCCTTTAAATTCTAAATGAATGTTCTTAGTACTATTGGTAATATGAAGAGGTCAGCACTTTAACTTTGATTTTTGAATGTACACATTATATTATATGAATTGTAAAATAAAAAAATCAGATCATTTTCTTAACTACTTTCACAGACAATTTAAAGAAGTAAAATATTACATATATTTTGATAGCTTATATCCTAAAGGAAGACATGTTTTTTATAATTATAAAGTATCGTTCTTATCTAATCTAGTTAATAACATTTCTCAATCCTTGTGAGATTTTTAATAATAATATATTGCTAGTTCTCTGCTGAAAACTAATTACTCGAAAATCATCTATGTATGCCCGGATAGAGCATTTAAGTGTGCTTCTATTAGTATAGCACCTCAGGTTTTAATTTCAGATTCGTAAGGCCAAGTGAAAACTTAAAGATATAGTCCATCCATACATATAATAAAAGTGTAACTGCTCGCTGTCTGTACATGGAAGATGTTTGAGAAAAACTATCATTAGGGGCCTTTATTAACGCGATAAAACCTAAAAACAATGATTTTCAATTTTTTCGTATGTTTATATGTGCGTTTGTACGCGCTAATCTCAAAAACTGCTTAACAGTTTTGGGTGCGGTTTTCACTAATATATTATGGTAAGTTTCACTTAACATTTAGTATTTAATTTATTTCAATCGGTTCATAAATAAAGTTATCTCAATTGAAATTATCACCTAGGGACGAATCCGAGCGAAGCGAGTGTGATTCGCTAGTTTCATAATATTTCCACTTACAGTCGCTAGCAATATAGATGCGTTAAATGCGTATATTGATCGAACTACATACATAATTTATGTTTAAATGGTCTTTTTAACTTTATTTTATAAATTGGCGAAACTAGTTAATTAATATGACTACACTTACTGTGAGATCTATGTTGATATTGACTTTGTTTTTAGAACAAGAGTATTTTAAGTTATATCCAAAGATATGTAATTATATCGTTCAGTTTTATTATTTTATCACTTAGGAACTTATTTAAAGATTAATCTAAAAATGAACAATTGGCAGTAGACATCGGACTATACTCATACTAACAATTGGACCCAGTTATGCAAAAAACAGCCATGTGCGTAAAAGTACCAACTGAGTTATAAGCATTTTTCTGTTGATAGTTGCACTTGGGTTATGTTTTGTTTTTCTAGTTATTTTAAAATTGAATAATTATATAAGTATTGTTTATTTTTTATAATTATTTTATTTTTTATAATTATTTTATTTTTTATAATAAAATGCTTATATTCAGTTGGTACTTTTATGCACATGGCTGTTTTTTGCATAACTGGGTCCAATTTAGATATTAACAAAAATGCGCAAAGGTCATTATAATACCAGGCTGCATTCATAGGAAGTCTTAAATTTAAGTTATAGATAGTTCCTTACTTATTTAAAACTATAGGCACTTATAACCAATGTTCGGAAACGCTTTCAATTTTAAACCGGTTTTGATCATTAACCCAAACCGAAAGACTTTTCGGTTTATGGTTTCGTTTATTTAACCGTTTAAAACCCGATAACTGATTTTGACGATTTTAGATCACATTATCGAAAATTAATCGGTTATAATGAGTTTTTGTGCATTCATATTTGGTGAATCTTTGCTAATGGTGAATTTCTTAGTAGAAGATACATTACGTTTCTGGAACTAACCGGTACATTTCGGTATCAAAACTTAATTTTTTTCTTTCTCTAAGAATAACCGTTAACCATTATTATTTCAGTTTACTAAATCATTCGTCTCTATTTACCGGTTCATGAATGAGCGATGAATGAATAATTACATTACCGAAATCAACTGTTTTTTAAGACCAGTTCCGCGCTCTGAATAAAAACCGATAAAAATATATAATCCGATGCCTTATTTTTAACTACACCTTATGTCTTAACTTTGTGTTAAACCGTGGCGGGCTGAGCACCTGTTTCATAAATAAAGATCTTCTATCTTTCATATTTTTTGAGGATATATCAGATTCAATGGAACTTTTATCATCACTAGATATTACGTTTGGCTGTTTTTGATGACAGACTAATTCATTTTTACAGTTTTCAAGTTGGTTCCTAGCATTCATTATGTTAGAATCAACTTGGGATATACTTTCTGAACAATGGTACAAGATTTCTTCGTCAGAATGTAAATTTGCTTTTGGTTCAAATCTTTCTCTAAGGATTGAAAACTTTCTTCTTGGTCTAGTTCGCGTATTCTTTTTAATGTTTGATATTTTTGAAGCAGAAGTATTAACAACATTAGTAGGTACGTCTTTCTGTATTAACGATTGTAGTGATGGCGTTTTACGACTTAACGAGATATCTTCCTGACTCAAAGGCAATGAACTGTCGGAAACTAATTGCCATAAAAAGTCAATATCTTTATTTGATAAATCATGCTGTTCAGGTTTGTTATTCATCTTTTTCGTTGGAGTTTTTGAGCCGTTTGTTTTTTGACGCCGGGAAACATTTTTAATTTGATTTTTATTATCTTCTATACTTAGCTTAGTGGATATTGGCAAGACCGGATCTTTCGATTCAAATTTAGATCCGTGGGATACATCTAAAATACAGTCTTTTTCTGGCAAGCATTCCATTTTATTACTGGAATCAAACTTATATGGTTCCTTCCATATTGCTTTTTTTAGTGTTGTATCACTTTTTTCTATGTGAAATTGCGGGGAATCCCATTGGTGTTCGCGTCTATGGTATAAATTTCTAGGAGAATTGGTTACAGTTGCTTTTCTAATTTCATCTATTGTCGCAACTAAGGAACTTTCTGAATTTAGTCGTTTCTTGCAAGATATATCGATATCACCTAAATCATCCAGTTCTTCTAAAATCGGTTCCAAGTGATTCGGATCTTTCATAGTATCTATCATGCATGGTTTCGCCAAGAAAGTGTCATCATTGGAGTGGCACATCACTGTATTGACATAATCTTCATGACTTCTGTCGAACTTAACGAAAACATTAGAATACGTGTGAGGCTTCTTCGGAAAAGCGGGAGCAGATAATATAGCATTTTTTAATTCTTGGGATAAGCAACTGCTTATTTCTGAACTGCCTGAAGTAAGAGTATCTCGACTTCTATCTCTAACAACGCTACCATCGTGTAACCAATTTTCGATATCACAGTATCCATTCCAGGATCGTAAGCCCCAGGCCTCTCTAGCAATATTTACTGCACATATATTCTCATAATCATGCACTGATAGAATTTCAGTTGGAGTATCAAGATCTCGTTTAGATTGTAGTAACTCAGTTGTTATACCACTTTTTATTTTATCCTTTTTTGTGTACATTTCTTTAAGAATATCGAGAGCTATTCGTTGTATGTTTTCTATATCAGCATCTTGATTACCAACTTTTATATTTTTTAAAGCGCTTAAACAAAGTTTCTGTACGATATTTTCATTGAATGTATTTATATCTGAACTGTTTATATCACTAAAGCTTAAATCTAAGTCCATGTCAATGGAATCTGAAGATGTTTTTTTATTTGATCCATCTGTATCATGACTGATCTCAGAACTATCAGTCTTGATGGTTTTAGCAAAATCTTCGCTTACAATGTTACATTCTAAATTGAGATTAGTCAAATCATCTCTAAGTTCATCTGAAGAACAAATCCCACGTCGCTTCTGTAAATTCAATGTACTAGAAGTAATTTCGTCTATAGAACTTTCTAGATTATCTATAGATGAAAGTTTCAGAGTAAGTTCTGTAGGAGAGCATAATTTCTTTTTAGTAATTTTAGTAAGACTGATTGAATTATTCCGTTTAGGAATCACGGATTGCGGTGTATTTTCCACTGTATATAATTCGATGCTAGAAGCATCCATGCTTAGATTGCCGACTGGAGCGGATGTGAATGTGGGTGTACCAGATCTGGCAATCCAATGATCTAATAGGAACTTTTTGTCTGCATTATCACTATCGTTTTGTGGCAATTGTTGATTACTTGGTAGACTATCATTTCTGCAAAAAATAGATATTTTGTTAATTTGATAATATGTATTCGTTTTACACCATATTTATTGTATAAAAAAGGACCTTGTTGTTTCAGCAACCTTATTAGAAGTTTTAAACGATCTAATATGATTTAATCCATTGCTTTTGTTTTTATTTGTATGTGGTGTTGCCTTATTATTTAACTCAACATCATCTTGCGAGTTTTTCCAGGTGATAGGTCCTTTGGAGTGAAAAAATCTGTAGTAAAATATCATTGCCAGCATACCTGAAAATATATAATGATTATTATTTGTATGTAAAATAAAGCAAGATATTGTCTATGCTTCTTATTATAAAAATATATTGTTAAACTTACCAATCACAGTCCCAGCAATGACACAAACAGTTGCAGCTATTGACCAAGACTTATTTTGTTTCTCCGTATCAGATATAAGCACATAAAGGAATAAACTTCCAAAATTTTGTGTCACAATTAGAGTGTAAAACATCAACAAACGATATCTTGTGTGGCCCTCTGTTAAATTTATATAGCAAAAACAATAAACAAAACCCATAACGGCATTGTAGAATGTTTCTTCAAACTTATTAGGACAGAAGGTAGTCTTTTGTGTGATAATCCAGAAAGTCATCGCTGTCCAGTGTAAGCCTGTAATAAAGATTTGCATATATTATGTTTGATTGAAAATAACAAAAACAAGGTCTGTAAATTTATGATTAGATTTAAGCTATTATTTAAAACTCACCAAGTGGTATTAAAGTCCATATACCAAAAACTATGGTAAATAACAGAATGCCTGCTATTCTACCTACAAGTATACCAAAGTGCCATGTTATCTTAAAAATAATGGAACTCCATTTAAAATTATCAGCGGTAAAAGTAGTAATACTGTAAATATATGTTACACAACCCCATATCACAGATGCTATTGATGCTACTAATGCAAATACTGAAAGAAAAATTGATCAATTATAATATTATGGTGTACATTTTACTTACGATACCTAATTTATAATTTAACTTAAATTCTGACATGCATATTCTATTTCATTATTAACTACTTCATTAAGAACTAGCATCTCACCCTCACTCTGCTCGGGTTCATTCCTACTTACGTTTTAATGTTTAGTATAGATATCTCAGAAATGAGACATTTTCCTGCAGTAAAAAGTATCCTATATATTGACCCGGATAACCAGCTATCATCATACCAAATTTCATCAAAGTCCCTCCAGTGGTTTTTCCGTGATTCGGTCACAGACAGATAGACAAAAATTCTAAAAACTATACATTCGGCTTCTGTATTGATGATAATGGCTATTTCGATAAGATTTTCCAAAAAATATTTAATGTACAAATTCGGCTTAATTACAATTTTATTGTATGTATAGATGAAAGGTAAGTATTAATATGATAATAATGTATACCTTTAGTTTGATAGTTTTCATTAAGCATAACAACGGCATATGTTTGCAATATAATCTGTGGAACAGTTCCAGTAAAAATATACAAAAAATGTAAAAGACTTAAATCATTTCTCTGGCATATTAATGTTTGTGATTTCATTGTTTCCAAATTCTTACAAGAGAATACCTTGTGTAAGAATATAATATACCTAAAAATATAATAGGTTAATTAATATATTTTTTTACTTATTACATATTATTTTATTAATTACTTATTGTTCAATACCTTTCTAATAATCCAACAAGACTACAATGAGTTATCCAGTGACGAAGATTTGCTTGTTGGTCAATAATAAACCATCTCATTGAAAAAATATTTATTAAAATGTTTGGAGACAGTATAAAAATCATTGTGGACAAAGCCCAGTACATGTATCCATCTTTGCAATATTCTGCAAAAACTAAAATATCTGAAAAACACAACAATTCATTATTGGTATGGAAGTCTTTGATGACAAAAAAAATATTAACTTGTAATGTGATTGTTTTCAAATTATTAAACCAAATCAAAAAAAAAAATATTAAAGAAATATAAATTACAAAAACCTGTAGTTAAGTCTGCGAATATAGACACAAGAGATATAAATACACTTAATACATTAAAAACACAATAATTCTCATCTTGAGTACAAATACTCTTTCTATCTATTGTGATTCCAAGCCTACAAGCTTCTGCCATAGTACAAGATTATGAACATAATGTAAATAAATAAAGTTTCTGTAGGTTTTATTTTAGTTAAGTACTTAAAAAGTTAAGAGTCTTTCATATAAATATTATTTTCTAATACGTTTATGTTAAAACGAATAAATCAATTCAACGGCGGCGCGGACGCAGGACCGAGGTCACCGCACTCCATTCGCTTGAACCACAGATGACAGAGGTTTAAATTATTTTTTAATGGGGAAGATTTCTTGAAAGGATGGCGCTACATGTATAATCTATTTACATTCAGTTTGAGATTAAGCAATTTACTATGATATCTCTTTCTTGTCGTGCTTCTATTGTATTCGCATCTCACCTGTGCAGCGTATTGTACCTGGAAGTTAAACCAGCTGAAGGGAAAATTAAAAAGAATAGGTGCATCCTGCGGTGGATCAACACAGCCTAAACCGCTGAAGAAACGTGAAATTTGGAGGACGTAGTCCTTATATGATGTAGGTTATCCGATAAGAAAGGACTATCTGAAATGCATCTCCTAAGCGTATTGTATGAAACTCTATCATTCTTAATGTGAAACACATAGAAAGTGGTGTTTAGCTTTAACTTTTTAAGATAAAAAATAAGAAATTTATTTATTTAATTTTTTTCGAAAGCCACCCCTCAAAAGGAGTAAAAGGGGGTAATAAAGTTTATATGGGCAAAGAATTATTTATGATCTAAATTACTTGAAATTTCTTGAAGCTTTTTCAATACAATTAAATTTCAAAAAATGCTAAACACGTATTCATTTAGAATACTAGGGTATAAAACTCTGTAATTAATATATTTAAAGTACAAAAAATAAAAAAAATATTCATCTGTAGACGATTTAAGAGTTTTAAAATCACTTTCTGTAAAATGGTGTCCACACACCCTTGAATATAAAGATTGTGATTTCGCCAATTTTGTCAACTTTGAATTTTGGTTGTCTTACTGCTTTAGTCCAAATTTATTCAGTTTTTGTCTTTTGGGAACAAATGATATCCATTTTTTGCTTCCTGGCACTGCATGATTTGTTATTTTAATTAAATTTTAAATAAAATAAAAAAAAATCATCTACTAAGCTTTACAATATGTTGAGGATCATAGTGATTGAGACATCTGGCGGGAGAAAAAGGTAAATTTCTTTTTCATTATTATTATCAAGAAAGCGTCGACTTTTTTGAATATTGTTATCAGCAACGAACACAAAAATTAGATGATACTTTTTATTATGAAGTCATAAATTAGTATACATTGAATTTTAAATAAGTAAAGGTATTTAATAAGTATCATTAATAATAATGTTGCATGTTCTAGTGTAACTCTTTAACCTGTGGAATAGCAAAGATTCTTGCCAATTGCCATTTGTCAATGTTTGATATTTTTAATTTTGACATGAAAAATCGAAATTCACTACAAACAATATTTGAATTTTCGTCTTGATATTCTAATAAGTTATAATAATGTTCATTCTCTAAATTCGAATATAAATATTGAACTATTACATTTTATTTGCGTGTTAAAATGATACATGATGCATTGCTAGTTTTATGGGATTGTTCCCGAACAACAAATATGACACAGGTACATGTAAATTTTTTCTAAAGAAATATTTTTAAATGAAAATGCACATCTATGAAACTTAAACGTAAACATTTAAAATACCCATATTTCATGAATTTAAACATCAAAATATTTTAAATGTTTCTATTTTTCAAGCCTGAACCAGCTAACTATACCAACGAAGGTGATGTAGAAATATATAAAAGGATATACTCGATTGCTAAAAGTCATCATAGAATCCAAAATTTTATTCTAGGCACTTCCTTTCATGCTAGGAAATCTCAGACAGGTATTTCTACACTTTTACTTACAATTGTTATTCTAAAGAATATTTTGAATAATTTAACTTTTTCTTTACCAGCATCAGGGCATAGATCATATGGATTATATGGTCAAGCACTTAGTGAAGGTATTACAGAAGTTTTAAAATCATACAAAAAAACTTTAAAGGAAGTACAAGATCTTGTTATAGGCAATCAGAACTATACATTAGCCTTTGTGTATAGTTATGTCGAGAAATTTCGTGGGTTATTTAATACATTGAATAAAATAATAAACACAATTAAAGAAAGAAGATTAATAGGATGCCAAATTTTGAGTCTTGTCCATCAATATGTTCTGAATGGAAATGAAATGGTCCATGATTCTGTAATACAGTAAGTTCTAAAAATATAGATTATGTAGATTGTGTGCTTGTTATATTCTCAAATATTATTAATATATATATATATTTCTCTAAATAATAATATTTTTTATTGTTTTAACATATTTTATTTTTTCATTAATATTATAAAATGTTTTTTAGAATATTTACCTGTTTGAATACAGTTTTCATTAATCAACTTTGTACATGGCTTTTGTATGGTGAATTAAGGGATCCTTATGAAGAATTTTTTATATTGCAAATGAAGAAAAATGATTCCTCTGATACATTTATTTCTACACAATCCTCTACAAACACTTGTGATAAAGCACTTGTATCAACTGTGAGTTTATTTCTTTTCCTTTTATTCCTTTACAACTAACAAATTTATTGAAATCTACTTTAAGAATGTAATGTCAATACTTTTAATATAAATAGTTCTTTGTTAAATTTTATTTTACAAAATTAATAAATATTTATATTTATCATTATATTATTATGATGTTACAGCTACAACAAACTCCACTTGACTGTGGATACAATCTTAATCCAAACATGATACCATACTTCATACCACTTTCACTAGCTCAAGAGATATTGTTTGTTGGAAAAACTATAATTTTATTTGGTTTTGACCCTAAAAAAGTAAAGAAAAACAATAGCTTTATGATAAATAGATCAATGCTGACTTTGCAGAAATGTGATGCTGATTGTAGGAGGTATTAATTTTAATTATAATTGTGATAATTTTGTCTCTTAATTTCATGGTAAAAGATATTAAATATGTAAGTTCCTTTTAAATTTTTATATAATATAATTACTGGTTGCATTATAATTTGTCTAGTAATTTATATTTAAGATTTACAATATGGGAAGAAAAAGAAGCAGAATTTCATGAAATGTTGCAGAAACTTAAAGATCCTGAAGTATTTGAAGTTTACAATCTGAGAAGTGTAGTAAGGGAAATCAAAGAGTGTGTTACAAAGGTATGTAATTTGTTTTTATTATTATATTGATAAGTATCTATTTGTGATTTATACATAGTACTGTATTGATAACATTCAAATAATTACAAAAATAAAAGATAATTTGTATGGCCATTCAAAGTTGCTTTTTGATTAGACACTTTTATATATTTCCTTTCAATCATTCATTTAAACTTTAGATTTACTTATTAAATAAATTTCTAAAATGTTACTATGATTTTCGTAAAAATGGAATATCAAAAAACTTCTGCTTTTTGACCAAATCTTCTGCTTCTTCAAATGTTTGAGGCATATTTCTCCCAGTCGTTTCTGGTAAGAACAAGGCAGCAACTGTCCCAATGGCAGCTATGATACCAACAATTATTACAGGCAGTACAGGAATATAGACTTTCAAATACACTATGTAAGGTGATATGACAGTAGCTATATACCCACAAATCTGGACAATTGAAGAGCCAGATCCTCTGACACAAGTTGGTAACATTTCTGCTGCCCATTGCATAGTGACCATATAACATATATTTACACCAAATCTTGCCACGATAGCACAGACTACTGAATACCAACCGCTAGGTACTAGTGCTGTTAAAATACTAAAAATACAACAACAAAACATCATTAAAACTGTTATCCATTTTCTACCAGTGAAATCTAAAGTAAATGATACGATAAGTAGCGATGGAAACTCTGTAAATGACAAAAGTACAAATGATAAAAAGAAATCAAAAGCCAATGCCCCGATACTACGTATCAACGCATCGAATATTATAGTACAGCACATAAACTCTAAACACACCAAAAATAAAATCTTCCTCAAAATAGGTCTTTTAAATATTTCCAAAACACTAGCACTTTTTTCGTTACTTAATTTATGTGCACATACTTTAAACTCTTTTATAAGTTCATTAGGAATTTTCTTTTTATTGATTTGTCCTATCGTCAAAACTTTTTCTACTGCTTCGTTGATTCTGCCTTGGGAAAGTAACCATGTTGGGCTCTCTGGTATAACAAATGGGGCAAATAGGGATATGGCCATAGGAACACTTGTCACTAATGATAAAGTTCTCCAATTCCCGCAAGCAAGTGCTATCGGCGGTAAAGTCATCATGCCCAGAGTGAAAAACATCCCTATTGGCAAATTTGCTGCTATGGTTCTATATTTTGGCGCTACATACTCTATAACCAGCAAATATATCATCATCATACAAGTGTCATAGGACATGCCCATGAAAAACCTACATATACTAAATTCTGTGAAATTTCTCGCAAATATGCTGGACGCTCCTGCGATGCATCCAATTAAATTGCCGACAATGGCAGCCGGTAGTCGACCAAAACGATCAGCTATCCAGCCAATACCTAGTCCCCCAACTATAGATCCAACAAAGAATATAGCTTGGGCTGTCGCTTGATAACTGTCTCTTTCACACACCCATTCCATTTCAGTGGAAATCGTTGGGTATGGAATCTCACTTTTGTTAAATTCCCAACCGTACCTACAAGGTTCAATAGGCCATGACATATTTGTTTTCATCTCGGAAATCGTGCTCCAATTCACTGCGTACATTGTGCAATGTGAATATCCGAAATTTTCGCTTTTATCCTGTGGTATAGCCAAAGATCTTCGTTCAATATCAGTTAAATGTTCTAATTGCGGAACCCAGCACCAATGATTGGATGGCACTTCAGTCATGAAAAGCTGCGTAAAGTATGAAAACGCGCCAAAAATGTAAAATGGACACGTTGATAAAAATAGCAGCACTTGATACAGTCCAAATTCACCAGCCGCAGATAAAAGCTCATTAAAGTCAACATTTTTTAAAGAATCTTGTTCTTTTTCTTTATTGTTCTTGATAACATTTTTGTTTTCAGTATCTGCTACTTGGTTTGTGAGAGATTTCATATTTTTAACTTGATTTTATTTAAATACGCTTTATTTACACAGATGTCTGTTCTAAGTAAAAAATGTATACATACTAATAGAACACATCTACCTATTACACCAGGAGCAGAAATAATACAATAATGTGAGATCATTGTTATAATTTCAGATAAATATTTTATAATCTTAAGTATTATTGAGATAATGAGATGTTTGGCAGATAGATAAGAGACGAATCTTTTTTTATTTACATCTGAATTAAATCATAATTCAGCTGTCAGCGGTCCGCGTCTTATATTGTTACCAGCGACTTACGCTCGCTTCGCTCGGGTGCGTCCCTAGATATCTTTTAAATTCTTGAGCGGAACCCTAATTCTGTTTCTAAAACAAAAGTAACCTAAGTTACTATAAAATCAGCTATCTGCTAGTGAAAATACTCTAAAAATCAGTCCAGCCGTTTCGGAGATTAGCCGAAGCAAACAGACAGACAAAAATTTTAAAAATTGTGTTTTTCTTATAAGTACCGTATATGTATATGCATTTAGTAAAAAGCAGTTATTTTGAAATTCAAAGAGACACTTCAATTTTATTTATCCGTATAGTTTGTTTTTATACGTAAACTACAGCGAGCCCTACTGGCTTAGCGTTTTTAAATATTTTTTATGTTTACGATATCACAGCTTTGGCCGCGACTTCGCCGCGTGATCTACAGAAAGATTTTGGATGATTTCGCCATAATCAAGTCGTTTAAAATTACTGGTAGGACAGTAAGCTTGTACCATTTCACTGGTTACATTTACTGGAATTCGGTATGACCATGATAGGAATATGTAAGGAGTCCCCAACAGTTTAGTTAGTTTATGACTTGAGACCAAATCTTGCGGTTAAAACGTCCATAAACCAAAGCGTTTTCTAGCAGCGTTTAGTGTAATAATTATCTAATACCATCTACTACGCTAGCTATATAACCAAATACTACTAATGATGGAATAAATTATTTTCATAAGGATTATTATTTAAGTAAAAATAATCTTCTAAACATTACTTAGCTACTTATCTTTATGTTCTAAACTATAAAAGTTATGTATCTATATAGGTAGGTATGGACGATGGTATCGCGGGTTTTTTATAGAACTATAATTAAAGGTATACATGTATATTTATTATTTACCTGATTTTAATTTATATAAAATATGTACTAAATACTAATATATATTATACACTCATACCACGGATCCATAAATTTCAAAATTCTTTCAGTAAATTTTTTTGGCCCTGCAGGAATCAAACCTGCGATTCGCTTAGACGTATTAACATACATTTTTTTAATTTTTAGCATTTATGGACAGTAGCAGTGGAAGAAGCCCAGCTGTTACATGAATTACGTCTTATGAAGGACTTTTATTTGATCGGGCGCGGGGAATTGTTCTTAGAATTATTGCGACTGACTGCACCGATGCTTGATAAACCTACTACTAGGACTTCGACGAGAGGTTTCATATATATTTTGTTTAATCATGAGTTATTTTTTATTATTTTTTTTTTATTGGCCCTTTTAATCAATTTTAATTTAAAATACTGATTTAACTTTCCTTATTTAAATTATCTTTATATATATAATTCTTCTGTGAGTGTGTATGTCACTGAACTTCTCTCAAACGACTGGACCGATTTTGATGAAATTTTTTGTGTGTGTTCAAGGGGATCTGGGAATGGTTTAGATTCACAATTTGAATAATAATTTTCATCAAAAAAATTATTAAAAAAGTTTGAAATTTTCAAATTAAAGACGTGTAGACAGGACAACGTCTGTCGGGTCCGCTAGTTTTAATATAATATGTTATGTACATATAGATATTATATTCATGTCAATTTACCATATTATTATGTTATTTCTCAGATATGAACCACGCATTCCAATTAGCAGCTCGGGCAGTATTTTTAAGCAATAGTGCAGACATAGAAAAGTTCACTTTCGAATTGCCGTATATCAAGCCGAATATGTCTACGAATTCGTCCATCGATAATGATAGCAGCGCTGGTAATAGAATTTTTAATTGTATCATTATTTGTATTATATCTTTATATCACGCTAATAATATATGCATTACATTACCGTGTTTATATATTACTTGCTAAAATAACTTTATTGTTAAACAAAAACCAACACAACGCTATTAAAAAAAACTAAACTAATATTATAAATGTGAAAGTTTGTATGTGTGAGTATGGATGTTTGTTACTCTTTCACGCCAGAACGGCTGAACGGATCTGGATGAAATTTGGCACAGAGATAGATTAAAGTCTGAAAATGTACTGCGCAGAGATAGAATATAATACATAGGCTACTTTTTATCCCTGAAAAATGTACGGTTCCCGTGGGATTCCTGTGCATTGTGCATCAATCACTTTTTTGATCCATATTATTTATATCCATTATAACCATTCCCATGGAAAAGTTCTCTTAAAACTGTCACCAATTGTGTTTAGGTAATTATACTATTTGAAATAAATATACAACAATGTAAATTGAACCTTAAATGCAATGCTTAAAGTTATTTTCACAAAAAAATATTTAAAAGTACACTCTAATGTTCAAATGAGCGCTCATTCGGCGAGGAAATTTTTGGTCGCTGATAGTGTATCTAGTACTTTTTTGATCGATAGCATGGTGCAATTTTCCAATGTTTATAACTCACAGTTGCAGATGGTTGGTCCACAATAATTTTAAAGTATGATTTCAAATGGCCATTACACCTTCTCTTTGCGCCTGAAGTGCTGGCGCGGTACAACGACATGTTTCGACTTTTACTGAGGATAAAAAAAACACAGCACGACTTGCACGCTCTTTGGAAAACTTACAAACAATCTACGAGGTGAGATATGTTTATTTTAATATAAGCAGTGAATATTGAGGCCGATGGGTTTTCTCATGGCAACTTTGTCCGTCAATTTTTGTATTTCTAACGCTAAAACTGACAAATTTTCTCATATATTTTCATCCTCTACTTGAACTTTTTAACAGACGGCTTTTTAAAATATTCTTTCCTAGTTCTTAAGTTCTTTATACATTTAAGAAACTTTTAAGCCAAATTTTATGATTATAATCAAAAGGTGTTTTTACACCACTAAACTACTGATTCTTTTCATTTTTTACATTGCCAGTAATAATTGATGTACCTTTACGTAATGATTATTAAAAAAAAAAACATTTTTATGTCATTGTTTGGTTTTATCAATTTTAGGGGTTGAAAGTCATGTTACTTTTATATTCTATGTATTATTTCAGAATAACTAGAACCAAAACAAAAGAGAAAAGTTTTTTACTGAAATTTTGATTTCATGATTATATAATAATATAACTAACCTAGTCTCTAACAATTATTGTTTACTAACCATAATGAGTCACTGGTCACTTGAATAAAGATTATTATTATATTATTATTATAATTGGATTGACAATAGGAAATTTGAAAAATATTTATTTCAGGTTTTCCATATGCCAGTTACACAATAAACTCATGTTCCTAATGGACAACCTTCAACATTATTTACAAGCTGACGTCTTAGAGACAAACTTCTCACGTCTCATGGACGCAGTTAACAAAACCAATGACTTTGAGAAACTAAAGAAAGCGCACGCAACATTCCTCGCAGACACACTGAGCCAATCCTTTTTGACTGTTACATCTGTAAGTTTTAAATATTATTTACGGCGGAAATATCACGTAATATTCACGCTATAAAAACATGTACGAGATTAGTACCTACTACTTCCTTATTTGAAATGGATCATTAAAATACTCTTTAAATAATTTTGTTGTTGAAATTGTGATGATTATCGTAGCAGTCTATATGGAGACTACGTGAATCCTAGTAACATTTATAAATGCAAAAGTTTGTGAGGATGTATGGATGTCTGGATGTATATATGTATGGATGTTTGTTACTCTTTCACGCAAAAACTACTGTATGGATTTTAATGAAACTTTACAATAATACAGCTCATACATAAGAATAACACATAGGCTACTTTTTATCCCGGAAAAATGTACGATTCCCGTGAGATGGATTTGATTTTGTTTGTCTAGAGGCAACCCCTAGAGAAGCGAGGTGAACCGCTAGTACATTATAAATTAAAATAAATAATATTTAATACCTTATGAGTTTAGCTGGTTTTAAACTTGAAAGGACTTTTTAAGTTAGTCAAAGGTATATTTTTTTTTTATAAGGAAATCTGCAAGCAGTTTTTACTTTTAGCAGATATGTTCTAGGTTTATAGGTATATTTGAGACGACTCACATAAAATTAACTGAATTATAATATTATTTATAGCGAAAAATAATGTTTCAGTGCAATGACAGTGATACAGGCGACACCCTAGACTCTCTAAGCAACCCTGTGTTCTGCAATATTATGGAATTGTTGAAGCTTTGTCACTCGTTCTGTACAATTAGTGAGTTTGCTTCCGATAAAGAGGCAGAAGACTACTATTTAAGAGGATATTCTGAGAGGTAATTAGTTTATATTGTATGTGTGTATAGTGGCAATGGTAGTCCAATGATAGAACACACTCTCTTGGGAAACCTAACATAACAGCAACTAAATTATATTTGATAGGTTTAATAAGCTAGTGAAGCAATTAATGCAGTTGCTGGTATCTCTACGAGACCGCCCGTGCGGCGTGTACCTCGCGCGCCTGCTGATGCGCCTGGACTACAACCGCTGGCTCAGCGGGGAAGCTCAGCTTACACAATCTGTTACTAATATGCTCAGGTAATAATGTTTCGTATGCGCCATGTTATTTAATGATAATAATAGTTTAAATAAAATTATATTATTTAAATAAAAGATGAAATATAGTGCCTATGATAACCTGTAGCTGTTAGATTACATTGTTTGTAATAATTGTAAACTAGACTCGCAGAGCTAACTTTGAAATTAACATACTTTTTTTTTTTAATAACACATCTTATGTTTATGGTAATAAGAACAAAAATTGCTTGATATGCAGGTTACACATTTTAAAAACTTTAACTCCATAAAGCTAATGTTCATACAGCTAAGTATAGTATGTGTAAGATTTTGTAAAATGCCTGATGAGTAATGTAATGAGTAAATGTGTTGAACACTGCCATTTTAAGTTTAGGTTAGGTTAATAGTTGGTACTATTAATATACCTAATATTAACACATATAGTTATATATGTTAATAAGCATATCACTAAAAGTGAAAATATTCTTTTTGCAAATACAACAATGCTCTAATTTTTTAATTTTTCTTAAACATTGGCCTAATCTAAATACTAAAGACAATATTTTACAATATATCTAGTATATATCAAATGAAATGATCTGAAGTTTTATCAGCAAACTAACTATGTGTACATGAGAGAGTAATAAAATAAAACTTAGCACAATAATGTTTTTTAATCATCATCATCATCAATATTATCATCTTCTAACACATTACAATTTCCAACAGCATTCTGAGTAATTGTGTGTTCTGCGTGTTGCTGCATCACCGTCTTTATTAAAATGCATTTGGTCATGTAACATGTACAAGGAACAGGATGCTCTACTTCTTCAGGATCTAGAAGACTTAACTGTAAATTGTACCTAAAACAAATTTTATAGTTAGACTTAATCATCAATAACAGCTATACTACCTATATACAAAATAATAATTCTATACAGTTTCAACAACATAAGTTAATTTATTTAAGTTTAGTTTAAGTTGAATTTTTCTGTTGTTGATGTCATGACAGATCCTCTTGTATTCTTCTTTTGGTGAAATCTTATACTTATACATAATGGTGATATTTGAGATATATACTTTTACACAATTTAAAGTTATTTTTTTTATTCTTTTAAATTACAGTACATAATTACCTTCTAGAATTGTTTTGATCTCTATTCATATCTAGTTGAAATGCAATAGGTTCTTGTTCTTCAACATCTTGTTCTTCAGGTAACAGTATTATTGTTTGTTTCCAATGTGTTACTGGACTTCCTGGTCCTGTACTTAGAATAATCTGGTTTTCACTGGTTATCTGAGGAAAATTACACTCAAACCAAACACAAATACCTTGGTATTGTCCATTTCTACTAGCACCTAGAAAAGATATTGTGCAGATTATATTTCAAATAATATGTAATGAATTTGAAGTTTAAGGCAAAACTGTATTAAGAGGAATTTACTGATCATTTATGTTAATAATTTAGCCCGTCTTTAACATCTTATCATCATGTATAGGTCTTCATTCAATGTAAGGGAGATTAGGTCTACCACATTAGTCAAATCTGGGTGGTAATGGACTTATGTAATCTTTCAATTGTTATTATTAAAATTATACACATACAAAAGTGATTGAAGATTGGCTTTCGGGGTCAACATTGATCAAAAGGACATATTAGAAATTCTTTTTACAAACCTACAACATGCTGTATACTATAAGAATCCAAATCACTAACTGTGTCTTCTCTTAAATTTAGCCAAGCCATAGCAATCTCAGGTCCAAGAAGATCATCTTTAAGGATTTGCATTATTTCAGGTTTACTGCTTTTACTTGCTCTGAGTTGCTTTGCAAATGTTGATAATAATACTCCATGGAATTCTTTCCATTTATTGTATAAGTTAGGGACACTAAAAAAATAGAGCATAAATTATAATGAGTATATGTTTATTGTTAATAATGTAATTTCAAAATCAAATATTTCACATCAAAATCTCACCTACATGGAGCAACATAAATAACAGCACTCTCTGGAAACATTTCTCCATCTGGTTTGAGAAATTTATCTCTTGCGTTGAAGACTGAGTCTAACATGCCTTCATGGAGTAAATAAAAGCCCATCCACTCAGATACAATAGCATCAACTTTAATATCTTCAGGTAAATTAACATCCTCTACTTTGCTGTGTATTACCTGTTCGAATTGTATATATTATAAACCAAAAAAATAATATAAAAAATATATACATAATATAAAGTTATAATTGGTACCTCTATGATATTGTCATAATTATTCTCTTTAACTGTTTCTCTGGCTAAAAAAGCCAATTTGCTGGCTTCAATAGCATAGACTTTTTTTGCACCAGCCTGGGCACAGAATATTGATAGAATACCAGTTCCACAGCCAACATCCATGACTATTTTATCTTTAAAATATGATTTATTTTCAAAAATTGCTCTCCTATAGGTATCGGTTCTTGGGTCATCTTCCAACATTAGCCTATGTATCTAGAACATTTAAATAAGTATATATCAATACTTTAGTCAGGGGATGTTGCTCTATGTTTGTATTTATGAAATGGATATTAATCACTATCTAGTATCTAATGATAGTGCGATGAGTGATACCTCCAGATCCTCGTAACTAGAAAAGTATTCATTGTGTAAGACGTCCGTTTCCATTTTAAAGTTTTAATTCACGTTTCGCTTATATAACAAGAAATATAATGATATATACATATCTTAAATTAATAGATAATAGCAAAATATTATTTTTAAAAACTTAACCTCTAAATGAACATAAAAATTAAAAAGTAAAAACAATTCTTGTATCTTGAGCACAGATTATGCGTTAACTTAGATATTAGATAAAGATATATGAGGAATAATTTTTCCCGCTCGAAGTCGCGATCACTATGGCCCTCAGTAGTCATTATATTGTAAAGCTCTATAGCGTGGATGAATTTTTATAATTTTATTTAAAATTTAATTAAAATAACAAATTGTGTAGTGCCAAGATGCAAAGAAAATGGATATCATTTGTTACCAAAAGACAAAAACTAAAGAAATTGTTGGCTAAAGCAATAAGACAACCAAAATTGGCGAAATCACAATCTTTATATTTAATGCTAAGTGGACATCATTTTACAAAAAATGATTTAAAAACTCTGAAATTGTCTACAGGTATTTTTATTAATTTTTTATACTTTTGACTTTGAGTTTCATACAAACTCATCCCCCATTTTACCCTCATATGGGATTGAATTACGGGCTGAATTTTGAAAAAAAATATCAAATAAATAAATTTCTTATTTTTTATCTTAAAGCTAAACATTAAAACACCACTTTCTGTATATTTTACATTAAGAAAGACAGAGTTTCATATAATCTTTAATCCCCTATGTTATTCACTTAGGGGATGAATTTCGTAAAATCCTTTCTTATCTGATGCTTAAATTATATATAAGGAATACGTCCCCTAAATTTCACGTTTCTACGGCCAGCCATTTATGGTGTGTGTTGATCTATCAGTCAGTCAGGACCACCGCAGTATGCAGTATCCACATCTCCTTCTCAATTCTTCCTTCAGCTGGTCTAATTTCAGGTACAATACATTGCACAGGTAATATTAATTAGTATAAATGAAATAAACATGAAAATAATCGCTGCCTTATTTTACTGACTAATAAAGTTCTTTTCTAATATTATACAATATGCAAATAAAATGTGTTGTTTAGCTATTCTTTTTTCACGCTGAAATGGAGCGTCGGATTAATGTATTTATTATGTAGAGTTGAAAGAATGGTGATAGAATAGAACTACTTTTTATCACATTTTAATCGTTTTATTCTCACAAGAAACACGTTTCGTACCATAATAAATATGTATAAAAAATCTTACAAACTTTTTAAAAATATACGTATAAATCGATTTTTGTAATTATCGATTTTGATCTGAATGTTTTGTTACTTTTTTTTCAGTTATCTGTTCTTTCTTTCTCACTTCTCAGTGGCAACCATAGAGTATATTGCTGGTGGCAACTGGCAACTGGCATAAAATTTTTTACAACTTCATGTCAAACAGAAATGCGAAAACTTTAGATTTTAGGTTTTTTATTAATACACAGTCTTGGATTTCTTAATAGATAGTTATGTGGTACCTGTATTAAAAAGATAATTTTAGTCTTTATAAAATATGGCTAAAGAAGGAGATATGTCTTTATTTAGTGATGTGTTAGAGCCCTTTAGGCGGGTTATAAACACCGATCCGCCGAAGGATAAATTGGCGGCGTCTACTAAGTTGAATTTTTCTGATAGTAACCAATCAATCAAAGAAGGTAAATCTCTATTTAGTAAACATGAATTTCTGTTTCTTATGATATGAAAAGTTTTATATAATAAAAATATTTCAGGAACACCTGTTTTGACGTCGATCGGTAAACGAAAATCTAGTTTAGGCTTGATTGAATCAGGTACCCCGGAAAAACGGATGCGTATTGAATCTTCGGCTAATGTAGCTGCACCACCATCGCCATGGGAAACTAAAAGATTGAAAGCGGACTTGATTGCAGCGAAAGCTCAGGTGCATGAATTAATATTTAAAAATCTGTAAGTAATTGGATAAGAATAGTAGAGTTCAATTAGATTCTTTTTGCAGATAACTAAACTAGAGGCTCGTGTTAATCATCAACATACAATACGTAAAGAAATGCAAATATTATTTGAAGAAGAAAGGTCATCTCTTACAGAGCAACATAAAAGAGATGAAAGAGCTCTCTCAGATATGGAGGAGAGATTGCAGTTAATAAGACGGAGAGAGTCTGAACTTAAAGAGGAATATAGTGCGGTAAATATATTTTTATGATTCAATAAATTTATCTAAAGAAAATATCTAAATTATTACTTTCTAAATACTTCATTAACTTATAAAATATCAAACTTATTATTAATATCCATGGATTTTTTATAATTTGCATAATTTTTTTGATAGATTCTCCAATAAATGTTAAAAATGTTGACATTTTGTGTTATAATGAGTTTTTGTATGATGAATGTTATAATTGTAAGTAATCTGAATATAAATATTACAAATGTGAAAGTTTGTGAATATGTATGGATATTTGTTACTCTTTCATGCGCAAATGCCTGAATGGATCTGGATGAAATTTGGCACAGAGATAGATTATAGACTGAAATAATACATAGGCTACTTTTTATCTTGGAAAAATGGTTTTTAATTTGTTTTTTGAGAGGTGAACCCGAGCGAAGCGAGGGTGAGCAGCTAGTTATTAAATATTTGTCTATACTCCTTAGAATTCCATTCACCTTGCTCTATATATATATATTTTAGGCCATAAAAGAGCATAAAGACAGTAAGATTAAATGGGAAAAAGATAGAGGTGAGCTTCAGAAACAAATAGCAGAATTGAAAGACAAATTGTTAGAAGCTAATGTAAGCAGTAAGGATGAAATATCTGAAATGAAAAAAGATATGGATGAGATACTTCAAGTAAGTTTAAGTATAAAAACAGTAACTAATATAACTATATTAGTGGTGGATTTAGCAACAGGCTCAGTAGGCTGGAGCCTGGGGTGGAAAATTTGTGGCCAAAACTTTTTTTGTCTTACAGAAATTAAAAAGATTCATAGTTATGTTATCTAAAGTTACATACCTAAATGTTATTAGGCCCACACAAACAATTCAACAAGTAATATGGTTCACTACTAAGACAAATTTTTCAACAATTTGCTTGATGTTGGTTCAAGAAATAATGGCTGGCAAAAATTTATGACTGAAATCAGGAAAGTACATTATTATGTGAGTAGTTTTAAGGCTTACGTTATCCCCCTTTATTAGTAGTACATCATTGAGCTTTTATTAGCTCGGAAGTATACCCAATAATTATACGTTATAAATTTAAAAAATCCCCTACGCAAATTAATTGTCATTTAACGATTACACTGGCACGCGTGAATGACTTAATCGAGTAATCATACGCCAAAAATGCCTTACATCATTTTGGAAAAGAGCTGATACTCTTACACTGCTGGACTGATATTAACCAAACATAGGTAAAAACCCCTGCAAGGAAACTAGCTTTTAAATGAAAAAAAACCGCATCGAAATCAGTCCATTCGTTTGAGAGCTACGAAGCCACAAATAGACACACCCACACGCACACACAGACAGACAGACATCGACGTTAAGCTTATAACACCCCTCTTTTTGCGTCAGGGGTTAAAAACTATTTCTTGTGAAATCTTAACCATTGGATTGTAAAAATAATCTAGGAACTGAAATTTGTACAGGTTGATAGGGGTGGCAAAATTTGAATAGCCTACTGGCGGCAAATGACTAAATCCACCACTGAATATAGTTTATTTAAAATGTTTAGTTAGTCTGGTAAGATAAAATAAATTAAAAATATATTCTATTAATCCAGTCAAATTAGGGGTTTCACTTCGGAATTTGAGATAGTCAGCTATAAACTTGTATAAACCTTTATTTTGACACCCTATAAAAGTAAAAAAAATATAAAAGGGTAGGTAGGATGTAGGGTGTCCGTGACTACAGATATCTAATATCAAAGGTCAAAAAATTATTTTTTTGCCAATATCTCGTTTCCTTTGGGTTTTATGCTATTTGTATTTATTATATTGATATTGTAGAGGATTAAATTCTCTACAACTTTTGTTTAAAAAAATTATTTATATCTTGAACCGTTTTCGAAATAGAGGGCAGGCGTGTCGTTTTGAGACAAGTTTTAGGGTGTCAATATAAAGGTTTATACATGTTTGTAGCTGACTATCTCCAATTCCGAGATTCCTGCCCTATTTGACTGATTTGACTGGAATATATCAGTACATCACATCCAAACTTCATGATTCTTTCTGTATACTATAAATGTAATAAATCAGAAATAAAAGTAAATAAATTTAAAATGGAGGTGATGGTTGGTGGCTCTTTCATGGATTAATAAATACTAACATTAACTACTATAAAAACAGATTCAAAAGCTTTCTTAGCTTTAAAAAAAACTCAATATACCAAATTGTTGGATTGAATGTATTATCCATATTAATATTATAAATGAGAAAGTTTCTGAGTATGTATGGATGTTTGTTATTCTTCCATGCCAGAGGCTAAACGGATCTGGATGAAATTTGGCACAGATATAGATTATAGTCTGGAATAACACATAGGCTACTTTTTATGGGCAAAACCGAGCTAAGCAAGGGTGAGCAGCTAGTAAGTTTATATTATTGATTTCCTTAGGCTATAGAAGGAGCACAGCAAGAAGTAGAAATGTTAAAAAAGGAAGTGGCAAAACAAACATCTAGAGCTGAACAATGCACATCTCTTAGGACTAAACTCGAAAAAACAACATTTGAACTGCAACAAGTCACTAGTAAGCTAAAAGAGCTAGAGTATGAAAAGGACTCATATAAAGACTGGCAACAGCAGGCTAAAGTAAGTGTATAGATATTTGCATCTATTTAAATACTGCTTATATTGTTTAAAATATGAAAAACAACTGATTTGAATTACCAAAACAGAAGCATAAAACAAATAAAAGTGATTTGATGATTCTGTTTAAACTTGCTAATGTCAAAAAATTTATATTATTAGGTTGTATGAGGTAAAAGTTATAATTAGCAAGAGTGTTTTTTTATTATTAGTTAGTTTTTTCTTAAATTCTTCAATTATTTTTTTCAGACGGCCCAGAAACGTCTAACCAACATGGCAGAATTAGAAAAGGAAGTGATACGCCTCCGAGCTTCAGAGAGGTCTCTGAGAGATGCAGTGAGCAATAAATTGTTACTGGAAGAGCAAGTCCATGTCCTCACTAAGAAAGTTGAGGCATTACAGCCGGTACAGCAGGAATTGCATGAGGCTAAGGTAAATTCTTTATATATTTGTTGTAATGGACCTGGAAATAGATAAATGTTTCATAATTTTTTCCACAAATTGAAAAATTATTTGCTCATATTGTGCATATTCTTAATTTATTGCTATATAACATCATAAAATAATAGAGGTTAATTTGTAAAAAGTATGTTGCTTTAAATTACAACATGGATTTTGCAATTAATCTTTGAAGTTATACTTCTTTTGGGAAAAAAATATGAGATTAAAATTTTTACGATGCGCGCGCACACCGACAGCTAAAAAGCGACATGAAGAAGTTAGTTGATAACTGTTCATTGTCATGGTAACCGTTGTTATTGTCTGAAAAATGATATATAATATTATATTCTTTCCTTAAATGACATTCTATTAATATATGATCGTAATATGCCTAATCTAATTATTTTATTAATTTATCGATCTTTTTACAAACAGAGAGTTGTCACATATGGGATGAAATCTTTAGCTATTTTTGATCTGTTACGTCATAGAAGTATAACTTCTTACGTGCGTAAATATACAGTACACACACGTTTTCTTATTCCTCATTTTATTTAAGCATGATAATATGTATATGTTTCCCTCACCTCCCCCAGGTGAAGCTAGCGTCGCTGGAGTCGTCGCTGTCGGAGTGGCAGGGCGCGGCGCGCGCGCACGGCGCGGACAGCGCGCGCGCGCTGTCTGCCGCGCTGGACGCCGCGCTCGGCAGCCAGCTCAGCGCCGCGGCGGGCCACGCCGCCGCCGCCGGCCAGCTGGCCGCGCTCAATGAGGTACACTACGACCCCCGACGCACTTTGATACTACACTTTACGAAACGAGAAGCTCCACCCATGACTCTTAAAGTCCTTTCTTTTATTAATTAACCACGCATATAACACACTGACCTCATTTGGGTGGACTCTTAAAGTCCACCCGACTCCATAGTTTTGTTCAGCCTTTCTATTTTGTTCGCAACATCTTTTGATTCTGAAATTGTACACGCACAAATCAATCTCAAATAAAATAAAAATAACAACAAAACATAAAAATGCTCAAAAAACGGCACGGACGTATGTAAGTGGATGTTAGACTTCCTCAAATAAAAAAAACCCCGACTTAAAAACGACGGGGTGTTATAAGTTTGACGTGTCTCTGTGTATGTCTGTCTGTGGCATCATACCTCCCGAACGGATGAACCGATTTTGATTTTATTTTTTTCTGTTTGAAAGGTGAATTAGTCTGGAGTGTTCTTTGCTAGCTATGTTTGATGAAAATCGATTTAAAATGATGGGGGGATTTTTCAATTTTTAAAATAATTTAGTTATAATAATAATTATTATTTACCTCATAAAAGGACATTATGTCTTATTATGAACTAAGAATGATAAATTGAAGTAAATGTCAATAGATCAAGATTAGGGTTGTATTAAATTAATAATTAAAAGTAAAAAATAAAAATACACTCCAATAAGGATATTATGGTTTAGTAAAATCTCATAAAGGAAAACTAAATAATTTAGTAGGAAATCAAATTTGGGTAATTTTTCTGATTTTTAAAACTCAGCAATTCAGTAATGGATTTATATGTAATAAAGTGCATATTTACATATGATACTTTTATTTTTTACGAGTTGTTCATCACGTTTAAAAACTGTTAACGTTACTGAGATTTGTTTGATTAAATAAAGGATGAATTTTTAATAATTTACATATTTTAATTTTTAAAATGAAGTAATTCCAAAATTTGTGGACATACGAATCTATTATTATTATTAATTAGCGCTGTCTAATATCTCTGTATTAGATGGGGCATATAAGAGCGCGATATAATCCGAAATATCTGTGAATTCATTCTTGGTCTAAACTACTGGATTTTTAAAGCATGGAATTTTATACAAGAGCCTGTTATGTAACGATGTTGAATATTCATTTAAAAGGATTTAAAAAGGAAGATTTTTGAATGTAATTCTAAAAAGCATTATGGGAAACATTTAATTTCAATTATTTTACATATTATAACATAATTATTCTGTTTTTTAAAAACTAAATTCTTAGTAATAAAAGTGTACTCATATATAATTTATTTATAATTTTAAATTTTAGGAAGTAGCTACTCTTAAATATGAGCGCGACAAGGCGACAGCCAAGTTGAATGACCTGCAAAATGTGCGCAAGACTCAAGATGACTTCATACATCGTTTAAAAAAACGTTTACTCCTGGTTACCCGAGAGAGAGATAGCTATAGGTAAGTTTGCATTTTAAAACATAAGTCTCAGATATGTCTAAGATATTTAATAATATTTGGAATATTTTTTTTTATTAAATTGGAACAACACTTATTTTATTTTATTTATCTTATATTAATAATTAATTAATAATTTATTACAAGCTAAGAAACCCCGCCCTCTTCTTATATAATTTGGTACTATCTATAATTTTTGTAGAGAAGAAAGTTGGGCGTCTGGTTAAAAGAACTCTATTGAAAATTCAGTTAAAAGTAATCATTTTACATTCCATTAGTACATTTTTATCAGTGACTCCTCGTTTTGTTCGGGTGAGTCCTGCTGTTAAACAACAGCCTATGTGGTACTCCCAAGTCGGAAAGTTGAAAAATCCGTGTCATATGTTTTTAGTTTGAAATAACTCTCACGCTTTGAAGCCATTAACAAGAAAATTGAATTGAATTGATTGTCCAGAGGTTCCCAGACTTTTTTTCTCATAGACCACTTTCAAAATTTAGCTGGTTCCGGGGGACCCCCTGCAGCTACATTTCTACCATATTCCCAAAACTCGACAAAAAATGTGAAGATTCCGTCCACCATAGATTTCCGTGGAGTATCCCGTGGACCCCTGGTCCACCTGGAGCACTTTGGGAACTAAGGATCTTGATTGTCCTCAGACAGCAGCTAGACAGCTACGAGAAGGAGTTAACAGTGACGCTGGGCGGCGAGGCGGGCGGCGCGGCGCTGCTGGCGGCGCGCGTGGAGCAGCTGGAGCGCGCGCTGCAGGCCTACCGCGACCTGCTCGCCGACCACGACGTCGACCAACACGTCAAAGGTGAACATTATCGTGTTAGGCTTAAGGTCTAATGTCCTTCGAGTGATTCAGCTCGATGTACATTACTTACCGCCGGTCGGTCGTACGTGCAGGCATGGAGGCGGCGCGCGCGGAGGCGGCCCGCAGCCGCGAGGAGGCGGCGGCGGCGCGGCGCGAGGCGGCGGCGCTGCGCGTGCAGCGCGACCAGCTGCAACTGCACATCGAGAAGCTCGCGGCGCCCACCAAGGTATAGTATACACGCTTTTAGTTGGAATATTGTAATACATACTTAATTTTAATATTATAAATGTGAATGTATGTTTGTTTGTCCGTCTTCAACTTTGAAACGGAGTTACGGATTGGCGTGATTTTTTGTGTGAAGATAGTTGGGGGGCTGGAATGACATAGACTACTTTTTACTGCGGGACATTGTCTTATTTTCATGGGATAACACGTTATATTACAACCCTCAATAACTCATCATACCTATGTAAAATATATAGTCTCTTTTTAATCCATAGAGCGAAGCAAAGCGAGGGTGGACAAGGACGTATGAAGTTTTACTGAATGAATTTTGATGACTTCTAATGATGCATTGTTTTTAATAGTCTTACATCATATGTATGTATGTAACTGTTGTGAACTATAAGATAATTAATATATTCAGTTTTATAATGTATATAAATACAAATAACTCAATATTTTCAAAAGATTTAGCACTGGCAAGTTGCAAAAGTATTTTTTGCGAGTAACTGAGATTTTTTCTTGTTTTAGATCCTACATTTGGCTGACAACCCTGCAGCAGCTGCACAAAAACAAATGCACTTAGATTTGGAGTTGGCTCAAGAAGAGGTGAATTTGAATGGATTATCTATTATGACTTATTGGTTAAATAATTACATTTAGTGAAATACTTATTTTATTGTTAGTATTGTAAAAGGTATTTTGAGTGGACGATTGTTTATGTTTATGATTTTAGTAATATTTTACTATGTTACACCTAATCGTGTTTCGATGTATCATGTAGGGAATAAATAAACTATTATTATATTAAAACTAGCGGTTCACCCTCGCTTCGTTCGGGTTTGCCTCTAGAAAAACAAAAACAAATTAAAAACTTCCTCCCACGGGAACCATACATTTTCCGGGATAAAAAGTAGCCTATGTGCTATTCCAAACTATAATCTATCTCTGTGCCAAATTTCATCCAGATCCATATTATAATATATTTTTATATAATATATCGGGGGGCACGGCAGTGCCCCTGGCAAGTCGAGCAAAATATTTATTTACAGCTTTTTATTACTTCAATATATTTTTTTAATGTAAGAATTTAGTGAACATGTTTATATTGAGTATGAAAATTAGACAAAAGATAATGATTCCAAACTCACCACTTTTTACTAGTTGTCACTATATAATTAAACTGCACTCGATTTTTAGCCATATTTATTAAACAAAAACAAGATTATCTTTCAGTATGAGATTCAGTACGAGACGATATTGTGTACGTATGAAACATGATGTAGAAGACCGGTAACACCATCTATGTTTAGTACATGCAACTAAATTAACTTAAAGAAACTTATAAAAAAAACTTATATAAGTAACACATCCATACTAATACTATAAATGTGAAAGTGTATTTGTTTGTTTTGTCCTTCTTTCATGTCAAAACGAAGTTACGGATTGACGTGATTTTTTCTGTGGAGATAGTTGGAGGGCTGGAGAGTGACATAGGCTACTTTTTACTGCGGGAGATGATCTCCTTCCCACGGGAAAACACTTTATAATACAACCCAAAAAAAATTATGATCAGAATTACTTGAAACTTGGTATTAATGCTCTGCAATACAATTAAATAAATACGTGTTTTAGCATTTTTCGAAATTCATCCCATAAGAGGGTAAAATAGGTGATGAAACTTTGTATGAAATCTACCTTTTTAGAGTTTTTTTTATAGTTTTAGCGCGATCGAAGTCGCGGGTTCTGCTAGTAACATATAATTATTTCAGATTAAGCAGTTGAAAGCTGCCTTACGCGAAGGAGGTTCCCGCGCGTGCCCCGAGGAGATGCAGCAACTGCGCACGCAGCTGGAAAACAGTAGGATAAAACTACAGAGGTATGGTAGACTTTTATTTTAAACTATACTTAATATTATAAAGACGCAGAGTTTGTTTGTTTGAACGTGCTATTCTCAGGAACTACTAATCCGATTTGAAAAAAATCTTCTTGCATTCAATAGCCCGTTTATTGAGGAAGGTTATAGGATATATACATCACGCTACTACGCAAGGGAGCAGAGTAATCATATATGTCAACAAGTCGAGCAGACTTCCATACATTATAAATGTAAAACTGATGTTTATATTATGTTTAATTGCTTTAAGCTCAGAATGTATGTATAATATTATAGTCTATCTACCTATTCTATACTAACTTTACTATACTTATATATTACTATATCTTTATAAATTATAGCTTCTATGTTACTCTGATGTACATAGGCTCTTTGAGGGATTTCGATTGATCAAAAACCCTTTTTTTTTTCGTGAAAGATAATAAACACCCATTCATCGTCACAAACTTTCGAGTTTATTATATTAGTAGGATATCTAATAAACACTCTTAATGATTTAATAAAAAATGAATTGCTTACTAATTCATGGTTTTGGTTCTCATTTTCAGAATGAAGGAAGAATTTACGTCTTCAGCTCAAGAATACAGGGACGTGTGTTACATGTTGCTAGGTTACAAAATTGATAGGACTGGTCATAAAAACTATAGGTAAGTAATTTTAGATAAATAACTTATTGCGGGATGATTATGCGTGACGGAATATAAATATATGAAAAATAGAATAGAAAAAAAATAGAGAAAAAAGGCAAAGAATTCTTATTAATCATATATTTTAACAATAGAACCTTGCAAATTTCTATGAAAGGTTATAGATACACCTTTGCAAACAAATATAATTGTATTTTAATTACTATATTTAAGTGTAATAAAAAATATGAATTCAGCCCTTTTTAGCTTCCTACTGCTGGTCACGGGCCTCCCTTCAGTACGAGAGGGATCAGGCCATAGTCCAGCACGCTGGCCAAGTGCGGGTTGGCGGACTTCACATGTCTTTTGAAATTTTCCTAGGTTCTCTCAGACATGCAGGTTTCCTTCACCGTTAAGACAAGTGATAATCCCGTTGGAAATGAGTCGCACATGAATATATCAGAGGTGCAAGACCCGGGATTTGAACCCGTTTCACTCGGTTTCCCTAGCGTGCGCGTTACCATTGGGCAAAGTATAGAACTAGAATTTATGTACAAATTCACTTCAATTTTTTTAGGAAAGTATCTCCATTTTCTTTTATTCACCCACAGGTGTTACCAGCAAATAAATTAGGATATGTACTTGTAATATTATATTATTTATTACTTTGTTTCATTTCTTGACCTTTGTCATTAATTAAAGAATGTTACTACATTTAAATAAATTAATGTTTACTTAATATTTATATTTCAGAAATATTTTATATTTAATCTTAAAAGGATCTAATTCGTGAATAGCATAATTTTTTTTTTCATATTATATGCAATATAATTAAACGTTATTACCAAAATAAAATGTTATCACTTAAATTGGTTTACGCTAACAGTACAATCTCAATGAGAAGCCATTTCTAAACCTATTCTTTATCTACACCAACATAGTCTCAGCTATAATATTCTCAATCCACAGGATATCAAACATGTACGCCGAATCGTCAGATGAATACTTAACATTTACCCTCTGCGATGAAGGCATTGAGATGGTGCATACAGACTACTCCGCGTCTCTGGGAGAGCTGGTGGAACTGCATCTTCATCATCACCACTCCATCCCAGTCTTCTTGAGTGCCCTCACAATGGAACTGTTCACTCGCACTACAATGCAGCCAGTACAAGATTGCTAGTGATAGTGATATAGCCGAATTTACATTATGAAACTAGTTTTATGCATGTGAAACTAATTTCGTGAAACTAGTTTATATGAAACTAGTTTCATTATTTATTCAGTGTTGTGAAATTCTTCAACATATTACAGAATGAATGCCCTCTCAGTCAATGTGTATTGTGATACTAATTTCACGTTATATTTGTACAAGTGATAATTGTTACAAGAGTTTCGTTAAAACAATGCGTGTATGAAATTTAGAATTTTTTCTAGTGAAATTGCTGAGGAAATTAATGTATTTTCATGCCACTGATTTTCTAATGTAAATTAGGTTTAATATAGTGTTGTGTGTATGGGATAAGTATGTGAAAACTTTTTAGTATCCTCTTCATGTGAAATGGATATTGGTAATTTTTCTTGTTTCAGATTTTCTTCCAGAAGTTTCTGTGTAAATGTATGGTAGGTCGGTAAAAAAGTGTAAAGGTTTTTTGCAAGTTTTATGTGTTATTCCAATACTGATGGATAATTATTATGTAATATCAATAGAGTAGGATTTGTTCATAATCTAGACATTTTCAAGTACTGCATTATGAACATTTAATAAAAAGATCAACTTACTGCAAGTATAGAATTTAGTGCTAAGATAGATTTGTAACAACTTATTTTCAAAAGTACACATTTGTGAGAAAATTTGTTAGATATATAATACGCATAAATACAAAAATATCTTGACATCTAATAGTATGTTCCTTAGTAGTATATAAAGTTATTATTATTTCCTTTAAAGATCTTGATTATAGATCGTGACTTTGAATTTTGTTAATTTTTTTATTGCAATAGTTAAAATATAATTCATTCAACAGTATAATCCTATGGCTATTCATTTTTCATCTCCATTTTCATAATTTCTTTTATATTTTACATACTTAAACATTTTTGTTATAACATTTGTTCTATATCTTTAATTAATTAGAAATTGTAAATATGTATATTTCAAATACACATGTATTGTGTGTTCTTCGGGATCGATTTTACTAAATTTAGCCCGACCCGGGATTCGAATCCGGATGTGCAACCGTACATGCTAGCAACTAGACCACCGAGGCAGTCTGTATTGTACAGGTTATAAAATATTTTCTTTTTTATAATAATCATAGATTTTTATTAGTAGCTTCAGCTAGCCTTTATACGAATATCCATACCTATTATTATAAATGTGTTTGTTTTTTGTGTTTTTCTTTCACAAACAGAGTGACAGATTGGTGTGACTTTTTGTGTGGAGATGGTTGGAGGGCTGGAGAGTGACATAGGCTATTTACCGCGGGGTGTATCTCATTCTCACGGGAAAACACGTTATAATACAACCAACCCAAAAAAAATATTTATGATCACAATTACTTGAAACTTGGTATTAATATTGCTAATGCTCATCATTACAATTAAATAAATACGTGTTTTAGCGTTTCTCCAAATTCATCCCATAAGGGGATAAAGCAGGGGATGAAAGTTTCCCCCCCAACGTGCGTTCACCTTGTCGTGGTGGGGGGGGCTCAGTAGTGCCCGGCGACCCAACCGGGCGCGAAGCCAAGAAACGCACAGGGAGGTGGCCCACTTCGGTGAGCGGTGGGAGGTGGCCCTCTTCGGAGGGCAGTGTACCATGCGGGTTGCTGCTGGTACTTCTCTGATAGCAGAGTGGACTGTGGAGCAACCCCGTGGTTGTTGTGGTCTGCTTCGGCAGACCTGCCGTCGGGGCGTCGTAGTCGAATGCGTAAGCGATCCTGCGACGCCCCATTAAGACGGGGGAAGGTTTTGTTGGGTTTTAGTGGGTAGTACTGGCTTTGCCGGTGAGTCCCACACCTCGTGCGTAAATGTATTTCCCAACGTTAAAAAAAAGGGATGAAAGTTTATAAGAAATCTACCGTTTTAGAATTTTTTTTATAGTTTTAGCGCGAGCGAAGCCGCGGGTTCTACTAATATCTTTAATAAATTAAGGTAAAAGAAAACCAAGAATCCATGTAAAATATTTATGAAGAAACAAGGACAATATATTATACATCATCTCATCTAATGTTTGAATGATTTAACTACAACAATTCAGTAGTTCAACTACAACAGTACAGTTAACAATTGAATAAATCGTATGCGTAAACTATGTGAAATAACCTAAATATTTTTTTTTTGTTTACGGACGAGAGGATGACCAAAGAAAAGATGGTTGGATGGACTGTTGAAGAGGATAGGGCTAGAAAGGGAGTAAGCAGGGAAAGGAATAGAGAATTGAAGAATAAAACATATTGCGCCGGCCCCAAATTAAATTGGGATAAGGATAGGAGGAAAATGATGATATTATTTTGTTTACTTTTTGTGAATACGTCATAAACACAGTGGTAATAAAAAAAAGTATTTATTTTTGACAGTAAATATAATTGATATTTTTTATTAGCCAACGTAATTCAATCAAAGATGGATTTTGAGAAATAATTTACTACGAGTTTTTTTTTATTTGATGATGATTTATTATTTGAATTGATGTTAGTAGATACAAAATGACGTATTTAATTTTGAATGGTGGAAATATTAGGCCATGTTACACTGATATTACCAATTATATAAGATGGTTGTTTACGCATACAGAAAATAATTGACAAGAGCGAAGTCGTAAGTTAATAATAAAATAGTTAAGTATTAAAATATATAGTCCACAATATGAAAGTGTATAAATATTACTTTATAAGCGAGCATACAAAATAACATAATTTTTAACACATACTCAACATATTCAAATTTCATCAAAAGTCACTGTAAAGATTTAGTGCTTTGCATTTCGACTGCAAACCAGTGTGCGAAGATACAATTGAAATTTAAATATATGAAATTCGTTGCAATTGGGTTAATATCAGTCGTTTTGTAAACAGTGCTCAGTTCCTACGATGTTCCTACGACGATGATTTCCTTCACTTAGATATTTCTCGCTTTCTTTTATATAAGAGTACCTATATGTTTTACTTTTCCCTAGAATAGTTACTTAGTATTATAAATTTAGGCAAGATTAAAAGCTCGTATATAATGGAGTAATAATGTAAACATTTTTGCGAATTGATGCTTTACAATAACAAGAATTCGAAACGTATTATCTGTTTTGTTATTTCTGTTAAAATACAACAATGACTAAAACATTGTTAGTCACGCTGTAAGCGTTAGTCACAATTTGCAGCCGAAATGTAATGTCAAAGCAATATATCTCCTACAATATCTTAAATTATATATGAAACCAAACCACTCAACTTCACCATTCTTTGGATCACGTTTCTATAAAGATACGTATCGATTGAAATTTCTAACTCTATATTTATGCCTGATTTATTTATTTTCGCTATGCATTTGAGATCTTACACATAGTTTTAAGTAAAAAAAATTAAATTAAACACATTATGACACTAAATAAAACTTAAATAATATTAATTAGACTTATGTGGACTATTTAGTCTATATTAAAGAAATCAAATAGTAAACTATTTAAAGCTAAGCAGGACGTCCAGAAACACAATTTTAGAGTGACATTCATCGCGCAAGTAGTTCGATAAATTTACAACTGACATCCATACCTACAAATTATTCTTGGAAACGTTTTGGAAATAATTTAAAAGTAACAATAAATTACTTTTTATCTACAGTCTATAAAGTCACCTAATTTCATCATTAAATGTTTTGAAAATTAAAAAAATAATAATAATTCTAAAAATCTTACATAGACATAATACTGAAATAAGTATTTTATAACTTTTTAAATCGATCGAATTATAATTTACTGTTCCAGTGACACACATTTGTATATAAAAAAAATTAAAACAAAACAAAACACGTAAACATAAATTTCACACAATTTTTAATAACATTATTGCACTAAAACTTCATAACTTAATAATAAATATTGCATAAGCGTTAAAACCACATTATGTGAAGTAAAATTACTTAAGTCTTAATATACTAAAAGTTAAAATTTTTAAAACAAACTTCAGTCCAATGAAAATAAGTCGATCCTACGAGCTTTAAGACAGAAATGAGGATTCTCTATAAACATTACAAATACCTACGTAGAAGTACCGAATATTGTGCTAACTACACTTCTATGTATAACATTTTGACTAAATATTAAGTACAATTTGGTGCTCAATTTTAATAATGTAAAGTGTTAATCATTAATAACTATAGATATTATTTATCTACAAAAGTCGAAAAATGTGCAACAGGTTTGAGAATTCTCCTAACCCTACGATAACTAAAAACTGGTTCGTTCGAGGACTGGCTCAATGTCTCACTGCGATCGACCATATCGAAATAACCTTCCATCTTAAAGCAGATGGAGGTTTTCATCAATAAATTGTGTTTGTACGTTAGAATTTGTCATATACTAAGATTTTTTATTCAATTTTGATTCGGAACTTTATAGTTTTATATATAGATAATTGAACTTATTAATCGTTTTATCGTTTCGATTTTGTAGTTTTTACATCGAGGGCCGCAAACATTGGTACAATGCCTTTGATCAAACTCGCAAAACTAGCTTGTTACAAACGCAGTCTTCATGAAAGTGCGTTTTAACACTGAGCGTGTTCGAACAATCTGCCTTCAAGGACACCTAAACACTGCAATGTTAACTCTACAGTCTACGACTATAGGACTCGTGTTGTGTCAATATCTTCGCCATTTTTCTCGTCAGTTACACTATTGTCCGTTATATTTTTGTTTCCTGAAAAAGATAACTTTATATAAATTTTAGGTTTAGTAACTAGTTACATTGCTTTATACTTATGTATATGTTTAAAGTTACTATTATTTCTACCAGTAAAGATATTTTTAGTGGAAAAAATTAGCCTATAACACTTGGCTGTCGTAAAGCTTTCTATTTGTAAATGAATTTTTAGGGTCGGAACAGTAGTTTTAATATTACTCTCTACATCCAAACTTAGAAACTGTCTCTATAATATTATATATATATATATATATATATATATATATATATATATATATATATATATATATATATATATATATATATATATATATATATATTGTTTGTGTGGTCACCTTTGCACGGTCCAGGGTGCAGAGGGTCCACAACGGTGCCCGCATGGCACGCGGCGCGCTGCAGCCGGCACCAGGACGTGTAGGTGCGCGCGTCGGAGCCGCACAGCGGGCGCCGCGCGCCGCCGCCGCACGCGCCGCACGACACGCAGCGCGCGCCGCTCGCGCCGCCCGACACGCAGCGCTGCCCCGCCCCGCACCGCACACGCGAACATGTCGCGTTTGCTGTGTATTACATTTATATTTTAAAACTATTGACCTCTCTTTGTTCGGGTGCGTCTCTCTAGGTGCTACACAGTAGCCTACGTGTTACTTATGGTCATTGTCTGTGTACTAAACATCTAAATCCTTCCAAGTGTTTCAGCAAGAAGGAGTAACAAACATACACACACAGAAAGTTTTGCATGTACTTGTATAATTTTGATCGTTTGATATTTGGCTTAGATTAAATTAATACAAAAAAATATGTTATTGCGTCTAAGAAATGTAATTTTAATTAGCACCTTCCATAATTCTTTAATCTATTTTAAATAAAAACACTTGATATTCTGCTTCATTCTATAGGTATAATAGGAATATTATTATTTCTAAACAGTCTAATTCAAAAATTTTACACATTCAACAATGTTTTTGTTCATAATGTCCTAAATACAAGCAATTTTCAGAAATTATACAAAATCTGAATAAACTAACCTATACAAGATCCCTTATAAGCTAGTGGCAGCGCCTTGCCCCGCTCGCAGGCAGCCTTCCGGAGCGCGCACGCGCCCGCGTACGTGCGGCCGTCCACCGCGCACACGGGCGCGCCCGCCACGCTGCACGCGCCGCAGCGCACGCAGTGCGCGCCCAACTCCGCGTCCAAAACGCAGCGTTTGTCGCCTCCGCAACGCACGCCTTCGCAACTTCCAACTATGCCAAAGAAAAAATTATAACTATAATATAGGTAGTGTATATTAAATATTACTTTATAATATTTATATTTACTGTAAAACATTCTAAATGTCAGGAAACAAAAACAAAATAAAACCGCGAAAAAGTCCGAAAATGTATTTTTAAATAAAATTAATTAGTAAGTATATTCAATTACATGCGAGTAAAATTTTTAATGAAAGCTCCACAACGTGTGTATTTATGAAAGGAAAGTAACTTTCTAGCTATCAAAATTTTCGAATTGAAAGACTAGAATAAAACCAGTGGAAATAATTAGAATTATCTACAGTCAAGCCCTGATCATTAAGCAAACTTTAGATTAGGGCTAATGTCAACTGAAATGTGACGCCCATTGTAATATAATAACTGAGTAGAAATCAGACTAACGAGCGTGGCCTGTTAATATACGCCTTTCCCGGTGAATTGTATCGTATTGCGGTTTATAGACCGGCGATAGATAGTCAGTCTAGACAGCGATCAAGTGCAGCCACTTTAGAGCTTAGATTACAGAGAATTTATCATGGTTAGAATCAGGCCGCCAACGGCTGCTCTTATAAAACTATTTCGTGTCTGGCGTTCATGAAGTACCTACTAATAGGAGCAGCATAAAGAGCGCAGCAGATTTCGCTCCTATAAAATTAATAGGCATTAAAATTAACTACCAACAATGCCTACTCCGTTTTATTTTATTTACTTATGAATTTACTACCTATGCAATAAGTTTTTATTATTTCCATTAAAATTGTAGAGATATTAGCAATGTATTATTGTGGGAAATTTTTTAAGTTAATATATTTTCATTATAGATTAAAGCATTTGTCTCTTTGTGTACCTATCATTATTTTGGCACACGCAGCTATTACTGAAATATATAAACCTGGCTTTAAATTTGCACTGTATTGCAACAAAATTACGTCAACTGGCCCACCTTAACCTAATTATAGATCTTAAATGAAGACAACTCACGAAAGATTCAGGCATGTATTTTGAGAATCTTGGGTAGATGCGTATATATATCTACTACAAGAATTTGCGTTGCGCTTGCGGCTGCCTATCCGCTCGTAAAATGCTATGATGTGGTCGCACATGAACTGTGTTCACATTATTCTTGTACTGTGTTATATTTTAATGTTTATTTTTCGAAATATTATTCTAAGAAAAGCGCTCTGTATATGGGTCGTGTAAATGTCCTTTATTTGGAGTAACTAGGTATATTAAATATAATTACTTCAAATAACGTATATCACTTATCTATACATATAATAAAATTGTAACCAAGCTGAATCTGTACATTAAATATTTTTTGGAAAATTTTATTGAAAAAACATTATTATCGATACAGAGGCTGAATCTATAGTTTTTAGAATTTTTGTCTGTCTGTCTGTTACCGCATCACAGAAAAACTACTGGAGGGGTTTTGATGAAATTTGGTATGGTGATTGGTTGATTGGCTGGTTATCCAGGTCAACAAATAGGATACTTTTTACCGCGGGAAAATGTCTCATTTCTGAGAAAAAAAATACAAAAACTACAATGTAAGTGTATACTAATATGTAAAACCTAAGAATTTGGTTTTGGTCATCTGTACGCGGGCGGAGCCGCGGGCAATACTAGTTTTATTCTATAAATATTAAAAAGAAAATAGAAAGTTATTGCTCTATTTTTAAGTATTTAAACTGCCACTTTAAGGTTGCACTTGAAGCATCAAGATAAATATCGCATTATGAGTGTGTCTTTAGAAGGACCATTACATTGACGTTATCGCGAAGGAACGAAGGATTATTATTCATAGTATGGAATGAGGACGAATGTCTGGCTCAGTCTAGGTCCGAACGCGATTATAAGTAGTTTATAATGTAACAAAAGCATTTAATTAAGTCCACAATTAGATGTACATTGCTACTTTTGTCTCATAATTAACATATTGTAACAATGCAACACTATTAAGATATAACTCAAAAAAGTTTATATAAGTTTTTTAATGTTAAATAAGAGTTTAATTTAGAAGTTATTAATGAACATAAGTACATTCGCATCCATATTGAATAAAAAAACATACAATAAATGTTATATCTTTCATAAAGCGTTATTTTTATGTCCTGTTAAAACATGGCTTTATTTTTTGTTGACAAACGCTCGCAGACGCATTTATAATCTGTGAGAGTTTCTTTTTTCACATCCATTGAGTTACGTTACGAGTATCTGTGTGCGTAACGAAGGAAGCTCGCTGGCCGGTTTCTCATAATTGCACCCATTCTGCACTCGGATGACATCCTGGGCCTACCATTGCTATGGGCTCTAACTATACGTTTTCGAATGCGTTTCCTTTTAAAACTGTCACATGTAACCAGCGCTGCTAAAATAGTTTTATTGGAATGGATGTTGGTAATTACACCGTACTCAGAAATACTCAGGAAAGATATTATATATCTACCTAGTACTATATACAAGTATCTATATACAAGTCAGTTCTAAACAAGCTCTAGTTTTAGATCTAGTTGCTTATTAAAATGTGCTATCTATTTCATCCTATGACTATTATTTCCGTAAAATATTGAAAAACAAAAATAATATAGAGATATTTTAGAAGTATATATTGCCACTAACAGTCGCATCTGTGTCAACATTCTGGCATATTAGCACCTCTAAGGTAGACTAAAAATAAAAAAGTAGAGTCGCATGTGATGCAACATTGTAAGCGTGGACGGCTTACATGCAAATCTCGTTGGGCTGCAACGTCTCACGGTCCCTTTTGCTCCCACAATCTTACACATGCTGAATAATGAAGTACTTGGTCTAATGAAGAAAAACTATGGGAAAATAAAATGATTGATAACATTAAAGTAACCATCGGCTTATAACTAACCATTTTATAAAAAAATCAAAGCTAATAAGACTATATTTTATAATGCTTTCTTAGATTTACGCGAATATTTGACATTTTAAATAAAACTATCTTTTCAGATTTTGTCGCGGATTTATTTGCATTTTTTTTTTCTTATATATTTGGTCTCTCCCGTGACCATGATTGCTGTAAAGCATTCGAAACGTCGGGAAACAAAAATGCAAATAAATCCGCGACAAAATCCGAAAAGATAGTTTTATTTAAAAAGACTATATTTTATTAAGATTTATATTTTACTAGCATTGCTCGCGGCTCCACCCGCGTTCAGATGACCAAAAACCAAATTCTTAAGTTTTACATATTAGTATACTCTTACAATGAAGTTTTTGTATTTTTTGTCAGAAATGAGATATTTTCCCCCGGTAAAAAGTATCCTATATGTTGACCCGGATAACCAGCTATCACCATACCAAATTTTATCAAAATCCCTCCTGTAGTTTTTGTGTGATGCGGTAACAGACAGAGAGACAAAAATTCTAAAAACCATAGATTCGACCTCTGTATCGATAATAATGTTTATTTCAATAAGATTTTCCAAAAAATATCTAATGTACTAATTCGGCTTAGTTATAATTTTATTAAATGTATAGATTTTTATGCCATTGTTAGAATGTGAATGATTAAATACTAAAAAAATATTTAATTTTACAATTTAATAATTTTATAAGCAGCTCTAAACAAATTGGATGCGTAAATGAAATTAATAGCTTTAAATTCCAGTTTTTTCACAAGCAATGTTTAAACCGCAAATTAGCAGCATATAATTTTATTATTTCTTTTATTTACCTATTATTAAATGGTGGGTCAATGAGTTATTCGCAGACAACCTAGAATTTTATGGAGGATTGTACTGTAATTTACTTGCACTCCTGCAATTAATTAGTCTCGGAAGCCACAGCATACGAAAAATAAAAATATAAAGATCGACGTAACGCGTAGTGTAGGATAATCATTACTATATCGAGTATTGAATCAAGCGTGGTGATAAAAAAAACTATAAATACGTAAATAAAAACTGTCCTTAACGATCACGTGCTTTTGATTTACAGCAATCGAGATAATTCGAAAACCGGTGGTTGGGTGGTTGGGAGCTGGAGGTCTCATTCACATGCATGCACCCCGGGCGACGCGATCGGCCAGACGTATCATGCATCGCAATGAGCTATCATTGAGACTCGATCCCGATAGAGCCGTACTGGACTATATACGATTGAAACTGCAATTTACTAGAGCGATAGTAAAGGAGTGTCCGTTCATCGCGGGACAAGGATAAATACGTTTATGGGGAATGAATAAAGCAGCCCGCGATGCTGGCGCGGAAAGCGCACTGTAATTATAGCGGCAGTCAATACTAGATCGCTCCAGGCAATGTTTGATTGCCGGTTGCAATAAACCTTTTAAGGAGAGCTCACTATAAATGTAATACGATTAGTCTTGGTCAATGATAATTCTCTAAATATCTAGTACACAAATAATAAATATACGAAGTATTTTCATTGCATCGATGTGGCTGTAAGTTAAGTAGAGACGCAGCCACAAGCGAGATAGCCTTTGCGGTACGTGTGAATTCATGTGCCAGGAAAATTAATGTTATAGCAAGATTAACCTCAAACTACTTGGGTATATGGTTTCGTTGATCGTTTGGAAAAAAATGATTAAGCTTTTAAACTAAAATATGACTAAGTACACTAACGAGCTATTTCTGTCTACTAAGTATCTAATGAGTTTGAAATTTTGCATATACTATTTAGTATATGTATGTACATATTATGTAAACTTGTTCGTAATTTACCTTAGCTAAGAGTTACAGGCTAATATATATTTTTCTATTTAAAGAACTAGCGTCTCTTTATAAATCTAAATTGCTTTCAAAATGTTTTTTTGTATAAAAATATACGTTGGGTCAAGTTAGTGCGTTTAAAACATTCTAGACGCGATAAGCGTGGCAGGTCGGTCAGCCACCGGTTAGGCTTGACCGCGCCAATAATAAGCCAGTAAACTTTGATGGGTCTTTAAACAACACTAGAAGTAAGTGTGCCTATTATAGTTATATGCATTTTTCAAACGGTTGCTAGGTGGCTCAGCGCTTAGAATGATAGATGTTTGTTGCGAGGCAAATCGGCTGATGGTTCCTGCTTCTATATTATGTACATATAGTAATTATCATTCATTGTACGTGACGTGTAGGGATCGGTATTATTGATTGCGATTTATAACCGAAGATGTGTACTAAAATAATTCGCGACGGTCGTAAATTTATTGTTCGATTATTTATGCTTGAATCATATTTATTGCCGATTGAATTTATTGGACGTTAAGATAAGCTACTGCTAAAGGGGGATCAGTGAAAGCTTTCTAAGGACGTTGCTTATAGGCGCCATATGGCGATGTACGTCTGAATATATTTAGGTAAACTTATCTTCAAGCTGGCATTATGAAAATTTTCTTTGTACAAAACAGACAAGCAAATTATGTATGTATTGTCAAGTATAAAATTATCGTAAATGAAAACGACAAGGCATTATTTACTGCTGTTTTCGTATTTAAATAATACTCGCTGAGACGATATATTATGTAATTGCATTGAAGTCAGAATAGAACATCCATTCATTTTTCAACCTCTACGAATATAATATTGAATATGTGGTGATTATTAAACTTTGAAATTTTATTATTATTTTATTTTCAAAAAATAGCTTATTGTAACTCTAAAATATGTCAAAATTTTAATTACAACAGCAGCGACTCATTGATTGATGGGTTATATTAATATTTTAGTGTGTGGTTACAGCTTATGTTACCAATTATTTAAAGTATTTAATGTTGCATCAATTTCTCTCGTGGACCTATGGTATGATATACATATAATAATAAATGAATACCTACCTCGGCAAGGTCCCGGATAGTCGAGTGTGAGGTGTTTTGCAGGGCGGCGGCAGGCTCTCCTCCGCAGTCGGCACAGGGAGCGGTAGGTCTTGCCGTCGCTACCGCACACCGGGCCCGCGCGTCGACACGTCGCCGCGCACACGCACCGCGCGCGCCCGCCCCGCACCACACACCGCCGCCCCGCCCCACAGGTCACGCCGGCACAGGATTCTGTTTAAATTTTCAAAAATGATAAATAAATATGTTGGGACATAGCACACAACACCATCTAGTTACATGATAAGCTACGAGGCTTGCCTTATGGATACCATATAGTCGATATACTACTTTTGTAACTTAAAATACATACATATTATAAATATAAACACCCGTAACTTGAGTGCAAGCATTCGTGCTCATCACACAAATGAGTGCCCCCAGCGGGACTCGAACTCGCGACCGCTAACTCAGCAAGTAGGGTCACTACAAACTGAGCCAAACTTGTCGTTTTTAATACAGCGTTTTTAATACGGCTCCGCTCGCGTTCAGATAACCAAAAACTAAATTCTTAAGTTTTACATATTAGTATACTCTTAGTTCTCAGTTTTTGTATTTTTTCTCAGAGACATTTTCTCACGGTAAAAAGTATTCTGTATGTTCATGTTTATCACCATACCAAATTTCATCAAAATCCCTCCAGTAGTTTTTCTGTAATGCGGTAACAAACAGACAGATAGACAGGCAAAAATTCTAAAGACTATAGATTCGGCCTCTGTATCGATAATAACGTTTATTTCAATAAGATTTTCCAAAAAATATTTAATGTACAGATTCGGCTTGGTTACAATTTTATTATATGTATAGATGACAAATGTGGCAAACAAGGAATTTGCTACTGCTGGTTGATGGTAAGTAGTACTTGTATTGCTTGTGCGCTTACGACACTGCGTTATCATATGAGGGAGCGAATGGGAATGATAGTAAAGGAGGAGAAAGGGGAAAGGCGATGTGGCTCTTTTGTTTTCTATAAATTAGAACTTAAATAATAATTTAATAATTATATTAAATAAGTCCTAGCTGTGGCACAGACAGTTTAGCATGTAGAAAAAATAGCGGTAAGGAATGTAGTGGAATAAGCATGAGTCGCAGGGTCGATTCTTATATAAGTCGATATGTTTTATCTACGGTTGTACTCCGCCTGTCCCACAAGAAAAACTCATGATAGAAGTGCCAGATACTAAATTATTATCCATAGGGCAATTTAATAAAAATTGGTTATCTCAATCTACAAAAGATAATCTATCTGGTCGAAGTAAAGCGTGTCGCCACTAAAGTTTATGATACCTTTTCGAAAGAGTCTATTAAAAACGGTAAGTAGTATATCGAGTATTAGCGTTTTATTTCTAGTAAATTTACTTTACAATGTTAAGTTACTGATAGTAAACTATTTTTAACTATAAGAAATTTTCAATTAGGTACTGTTATAAATAAATATAAATATGTTGGGACATAAACACACAGTACTATCTAGTCCCATGGTAAGCTACGAGGCCTGTGTTATGGATACCAGATAGTTGATACATTACACATATATAACTTTAAATACATACATATTATAAACATAAACATCCACGACTGGAGTAGTACAAACATTCGTGTTTATCACTCAAATGAATGCCCCCAGCGGGACTCGAATCCGCGACCGCTAGCACTAGTAGGGTCACTACAAACTGAGCCACACGTTTCGTCCAATGTTATGCTATGTTAATTTAAAACTGTTATTAATTTAAAATCAATAAACGCTTGTAGCAGGCTACTTTGGTTATCATGCGGGTTGCTCCTGGTACTTCTCTGATAGCAGAGTGGACTGTGGAGCAACCCCGTGGTTGTTGTGGTCTGCTTCGGCAGACTTGCCGTCGGGGCGTCGTAGTTGAATGCGTAAGCGATCCTGCGACGCCCCATTAAGACGGGGGAAGGTTTTGTTGGGTTTTAGTGGGTAGTACTGGCTTTGCCGGTGAGTCCCACACGTCGTGCGTAAGTGCATTTCCCAACGTTAAAAAAAGGCTACTTTGGTTATAGCGTGTAGTTTTCACAATATAGGTTAACAACATTTAGAAACACTCGTATCGTTTATCTGTCGGACGATGCACGGGCGTTCTAATTTCTAATAAAACAATTGCTTATCAAACAAACGCTAACTACACACCGACTCACACCCAGTTGTACCTATATATAAAAACGAAATGTAAGTTACACTCACAGCAGGTATGTATGTACATACCCCCCCCCCAACGTGCGTTCACCTTGTCGTAGTGGGGGGGCTCAGTAGTGCCCGGCAATACAGCCGGGCGCGAAGCCAAGAAACGCACATGGAGGTGGCCCACTTCGGTGGGCGGTGGAAGGAGGCCCTGTTCGGTGGGCCGTGTACCATGCGGGTTGCTCCTGGTACTTCTCTGATAGCAGAGTGGACTTTGGAGCAACTCCATGGTTGTTGTGTGATTCGGCAGACCTGCCGTCGGGGCGTCGTAGTTGAATGCGTAAGCGATCTTGCGACGCCCCATCAAGACGGGGGAAGGCTTTGTTGGGTTTTAGTGGGTAGTACAGGCTTTGCCGGTGAGTCCCACACCTCGTGCGTAAATGCATTTCCCAACGTTAAAAATAAAGGTAGGTATGTACATTTTGAATATTTTAAAAATACTAGAAAGTATTAAGGTTTTTGTGGTATTAATAATTATTATAAGTCTTTGATGTTTCTACGATAAGTTACTATTTCAAAAAACTATTGCAAAACGATTTGATAATTCTTTTTTAATGAAAAGCCGTTTCCTCGGACCATGGAGCGCAAGAGCTAAGAGCTCGGAAGGGTACAGCTAAATCTGCGTACTGACGGAGAAACTTGCTCACGAGGGTGGTTATGGTGAAACCGCGCACACCTCTGGACACCCTCAGCCGAATACACCAATATTAGAGAACCGAGTCATTATGCAATTTTGTAAGTGCCCTACATCTAGAGGAAGATGAGTTATTATATGTCAAACGATCAGTATAAAATATTGGAAGGTATTCTCAACCAAGAGCCGAATTGTTAGCCCGTGCCAATATCTATAATGATATCTAGGTTTTATTCAGTTTTTTATGTTTTCCCTCATCTATGCTCCGTTTGGTCATTGAGCGTTTTTAAACAATTTGTTATATAATACGGAGATGAATCTTAGCCGATATGTCATATTAAACGATTTTTTCCTAGATTGCAAAAGAAATGGGCTCCATTAATACCTATGAAGTAATGAGTTACAAAATAATAATTAAGCCCATTAAGCGATCTATTGTTGAACTCCTATATGTTGAATTCCTCTAAAGAATATTATTAGATATAATCTACCATGGTCGCCAAATCTCAATCACATTCCGGACTTCGCACGTCTTTTTCAACAATGTTTTCTTTTCAGTGGTATTGGAAATTGAATACGCACATAAAAATATCTACGATACTGCTTCACTTTATTTCTATAGCGACTGTGCTCTCAACTCAATGAACTAACATTAAATACCATAGCTTTAGAAAGTTAGATATCTTAATACCAATATGCGTAAATACGCATACCTATTATTAGATATATAATATCTACGGGAGGGTATAAATAGTATGTACCAGAGTATCGCAGAAGCTATTTTGCATTATACGTGTATTCATTCATGTGTTGACTGATATATGGATGCCGTTACTATGCAGTATGAACATGAATAAATCAAAGTTATCTAATTGAATAAAGATAGATGTACACAGATGTTGACACTTACATGAACAGTAGGCATTTATCCCGTATGTTTCTTGTTTTCTGTTAAACAAACAATTCTCTCGATTTAACTGCTTCAGCTTCAGCTTTCTTTTTTGGACAATGTATACGCTTGTACAACATGGTCCCAGAAAATGTTCAAAAGGCTTCTATCGCCGAATTCAAAAAAAATGTTAAAGAACGTTTGTGTGCTAAAGGCTATTATATAATAAACGATTTTATAGAAGATGGCACACCTTGGGAATGAAATGATCGCCTCCAGGCTACTTTAACTTGATAGAAATATTGTAAATTATAATGTTACTTAAAAAAAATATAACAAGTTAATATTGGTCCCGCTGAGTTTCTTTCGCCAGTTCTTCTCAGGTATGAGGCTTCTTCTTTCCGAACTGGTAGTAGACTCATGACGTTCAGTAAAAAAATGTACTAATTTAATGCCGAATAAAATATTTTGAATTTTGAATTTTCATTTTCACTGCTAGTTAGTGTTATCCAATATCTATTCAAGTCACCGGAAGAACGTTACTAAATAGCGATTAAAGTATATTGTATGTGGAAATGTTTATTCTAGATATTTGTGACTTTAAGTGTTTTTACTCAAAGTTTTGAGATAACCTTATTTAAGCAAGGATAAATTATCTAATCGGAATACAGACGGAAATTTATTTTTGTCAGTCTGAGCAAGAAATTGAAGCATGTACTTATCCAGTGGTGTAACTAGCCATTTTGGGCCCCAATGCAAAAAAATGGAAGTGCCCTACTTAAAACCAGCATGAGCCCTGCCGTATACTATTATTGCCGTATTATTATGCCGTATATATTACGTATATTTGAATAGGACAGATACATTTTTAAAACTTCTCATTTTTTTTCATACCGCTCACACGGAAGAACGGGCAGAGAAAAAAATTGTAAAAAAGCTGAGCTTAGAGGACCATTTTGTGAAATAAAAAAATTGTTTGTGACCCGCTGGGGCCCCCTTGTATCAGGGGCCCCATGTGACCGCATTGGTTGCGTTGGCATAGCTACGCCACTATTATACAGTAGGTATGCACCACTCAGTTTGTGTGCTGCTCCAAATACGTCGTCAAACTAACTTATCTCGTGAAGCGGTTAGAGGAAACATTTAACGAGTTCCGATATAAATATGCATAGAAATACCTTACAGCAATTTAAAAGTATAAATATGTCCAATTAATTGATTTAATTTCATGTGCAATTATGGTCGCAATGCATGTAATTGAATTTGCCATGGTAAAATATACTAGTTTAGTGTAGAGCTATGTTATAAAATTTATAAAATTACATCATTAATCGATGCCCTTCAACAAACAGATTAATCGGTTTAAGTGGCCTCAGTATCATTTCAAAATATAATATCAGCCTAATAAACTGTTCATGATTTTATAAAGATTTTATAAAAATCTTTTTTTATTCTATTTTAAGAAGAAATATGATGTGAGGTGAAAAACATACTAAAATAGTCGCTTTTTTAAAATCTCATTGTCTTTACTAACCTATTTGGAAAACTGTACAGAGTGCAAGCATGCTTCAAAAGGCACCTTAGTCCATTATCTTTAGGTTAAGTTATAGGTACTATGGTGTTTGAGGAAGACGTTCCGACATTATTATAATTTAATGAGTCTATTATTAGTTCAGAAAAAAAAGTCTCATTTCTGGTTATAATTGTCGAAAGAATGTTACCCTGACTAACATTATTTCTTTATCTTATTGTAATAGTCTAATAATAATTTAAATTCGGAAATGTGTTTGTTAGTTTGTGCTTCCTTCACGCGGAAATAGAACAACAGAGTAGCATAAGCCACTATTTACTAATGCATCAAATATTCCTGATAGATATAACAATATAGTAAATTGCAAAACTTATCATAAACAATATTGAACGACGCTTACCAGCACAAGCAGTACACGGCACTCCACCAGAGAGTGCCTTGTAGAAGAATATCTCGCCGCTGTCGAGGTCGCGGGGGCTCCAGGCGGCGGGTGCGCGCGCGCCTCCTGCGCAGCACTCCGCGCGCCCCACACGCAGCGCCGCCACCGAGCTGCACCGCCCGCCGCGCTCCATCCCCGACCAGCAGATCCCGGCTAACAGAACAATTGCATTAATTACTCCAATTACTTTCAATTCAATTAACTTCTTCAGTGACTTTTCTTCAATTCAATTCACTTCTTCAGTGTCTCCTAAGTGTGCCACTTCGAATGATTTATGACAAAAACGGGAGAGACAAAATAAGAACTAGAATAAGATTAACAATTTTTGATTTGGCATAGCAGAAATCTACCAACATTAAAAAAAAACAGTACATCGATCGTGCTCAAAGAAAAACCCAGCAACTAAAATAAACATCCATCGTTACGCATTAGACCGCGCCGTTATGTAGAGATACTCGTATCATATTTAATTGCTGTACGTTACACGTTATTAATATAAAGTTTTATATACCAAAAAATTATAAGTATCAGTATGCTCTAAGAGTTTATATTTCAAAAATATTCAAATGTTACATATTATTATCTTAACAATTGTACTAAAACTGGAATGAAACCAGTAACTATTAGTATATAATAATAGTGCCTTTAAATTTAGACCTGTATCGTGGATAAAATTTACAAAATGACTCAACTCTATTATCGACTTACTCTAGTATATTATATTTTGATATATGTATATATTATTACTCGAGTTCGTCTCCAGGTACGTTTTAACGGTTAGTATACCTAGATTTCTCAGATATGAAATATTTTCCCGCACTAAAATGCATCCTAAATGTTGACCCGGACATCCAGCTATCACCATACTAAATTTTAAAATATTGTATATAATCATCTAACATATGTATGATACATATGGGTATGATAAGTTGTCGTAGGTTGTATTATAACCCCCCCCCCCCCCCATGTGCGTTCACCTTGTCGTGGTGGGGGGGCTCAGTATTAGTAGCGAAGCTAAGAAACGCACTGGGAGGTTGCCACTTCGGTGGGCGGTGGGAGGTGGCCCTCTTCGGGGGGCGGTGTACCTTGCGGGTTGCTCCTGGTACTTCTCTGATAGCAGAGTGGACCTTGGAGCAACCCCATGGTTATGGTGGTCTGCTTTGGCAGACCTGCCGTCGGGGCGTCGTAGTTGAATGCGTAAGCGATCCTGCGACGCCCCATTATGACGGGGGAAGGTTTTGTTGGGTTTTAGTGGGTAGTACTGGCTGTATTACGCCGGTGAGTCCCACACGTCGTGCGTAAATGCATTTCCCAACGTTAAAAAAAAAAAGGTTGTATTATAACGTGGGAATGAGATAATCTCACGCGGTAAAAATGTAGCCTATGTCACTCCAGCCCTCCAACTATCTCCACACAAAAATCACGCCAATCCGTCGTCAAGTTTCGACGTGAAAAAGGACATGTGAAAAACAAACACTTTCACATTTATAATATTAATATAGATAATGGATAATATATTTTGTCCTATTGTAAAATAATACAAAATATCGTGTTACATGTATAAACAAAATCGAAACATATAAAATCTAAATTGATAATCTCCTCTTTTATCAGAAACGGTAAACAAAACGTTTCTTCACATTACTGACAAACCTTTAATGAAAGCACTACATAATTGTGCCAAGTTTAGTACATACTTGTATACTCTACATGAATCCTAATTTTATATTATAAAAGATACTACACTCATTTGAAGCTCCTGGAATTAAAAATAATTGAAATTATTCTTTACTATCAGAGAATAATAACTACTTTTGTTTTACCTTTTTGGTGTTCATGGTTTAGTTAATTGTATATAATAGGTAGGTATATATTTTAAGTCCTTTAATATATACGAACAATCAACTTCACAACCAAACACTTAGAAAATTAAAACAAAAATTACAATAATATATAACCTATTTTTTCTATAAAATATGATCTATTTTTTCTTCTTTATTCTCAATCTTCTTTTTATTCTATTCAACTGATTTAAAATATATAAAAGGAAACTTGAAAACGACAATAAAGAAAATTTAAAATTTGTTAAAACAACTTGAAAGAGGCTCTCCATATAGAGATACAAGTTTTAAACTTGCACATAAAAACTAGAGATATTTTCGTCTGTCAAAAGTGGGTGCATTTAACTGGTCACTATGCAAAATTATTAAACGTCTGAAAGTGTAGTGTGCATGTCAAAATGGTGTTTATCCATATTGGCTCAATGCACGCGACCGATATTATTGCAGTATGTACTTTATTTACTCTGTTATCGTCGAACTTTAATAATAGCGAGAAGTCGCTTCAAAGTTTCAATGTACTGCTAAAAAACATTATTATAAAATAGTTCGTGTAGTTTGGTGTGAAGTCTAGGTGAATCAGAAAGATTAAAAGAAGAAGTATAAGCATAAAAATATTTTCATACGAACTTAAGTATACAATATATGTACATAGTACATCAAACTTCGATTCTAACCATTTAATGTCTATTCATTGTGTAATTTAATTACTACTATATACTAGAAATGATTTTTCATGGATTAATATACTATAATAACAAATTTATAAAGCAAATATAACAGTTAAAATGGATCGAATCACATTATTTATTCTACAGCCAGACGGAGCTCTTATAAATAAACTTATAGAGCACGTTTAACTCTCTGAGCAATAAAAAAGGTTCACTATATTTGAGAAGTCATGTTCAAAGCATATGCGTGTACGCATTCAGTCGGATTCCATGGCTGAGTCAGAGCGCGCTAGACGCGAGCCAGACACTGCTGCGGAGACGGGCCGCCGCACGTCTCGCCGCCCGCGCCGCTCGCATATGTACATAGCCGTCCGTTAGCCAGTATAGCCACCCGTCGGGCCGCTTATATCTCTGCTTGTTCTTTGTGCTTTGATGTGTTTATTGTAAAATACACTATAACTCCACGTTACCAAATATATGTACGTCATTGAGAGTAAAAAAAAATATTTTTAGTTGGAGTTTAAATATATTTATGAGTCTATAGGTTGCTGTAACATTTTAATTTTACTAGCAGTATAATCTGAGTTTTTAATTTAGTTTAGGTATAATAAAATAAGAATCGAAATAAATTAACATTTTGGAATAATATTTCTTATCAACATTTACCCATCTCTACATAAATATTAAAGTTGATCATAACGGTGAAGTTATAAAGTATAGCATGAAGCATCTATTTATTTTGTGAATTTATCGTTATTTTTAGGAATACATCCATGAATACTATAATGAAGAAATACTTATATTGAAAACACACGCAACACAGTAATCGCATGCACCAACATGCTTTAAAAAAATATTTATGTAATTTCTGAAAATATTTATATTATACTAGCATTGCCCGCGGCTCCGCCCGCGTTCAGATGACCAAAATCCAAATTCTTAGGTTTTACATATTAGTATGCTCTTACATTGCCGTTTTTGTATTTTTTCTCAGAAATGAGATATTTTCCCGCGGTAAAAAAATATCCTATATGTTGACCCGGATAACCAGCTACCATCATACCAAATTTCATCAAAATCCCTCCAGTAGTTTTTCCGTGATGCGGTAACAGACAGACAGACAAAAATTCTAAAAACTATAGATTCGGCCTCTGTATCGATAATAATGTCTATTGCAATAAGATTTTCCAAAAAAAAAATTAATGTACAGATTCGGCTTAGTTACAATTTTATTATATGTATATATTTATTACAGTGTAACCTTAAAATAAAAACATATTGTTGCTTTTATTAGATGCATTTATAAAAAAAGGACAAATAAGCTAAGCATTAAATGTCTTTAAACGCGAATTAAAATACATGGTTTAATATTTTAATTTTTCTTAGTTACATATTTTATAAAATACCCTCGTAAAACTCTATCGCAAAAGTAGCTAGCAAGTCTACAAAACTATACATTTCTAGGCTAACACTACATTTTAATTTAGGATTCATGAAAGTTCATTGTGACTTGAAAAAGAATATACTTGACGACAAACCAGAAACCAACGGCCGTTTCTTTTAATATAAAAACAGCATTAATATTATTAATCACAATGAATAAAGAGGTTGACGCAATGATCACTGGTAAAAATGCAAATGAAATTGTATAGCGATTTTTACGTGGACAGCGGACATTGACTCGCCGCAACGTTCTATCTTCCGTATGTATTAAAATTGTAAACCGATTCCTGTGTATCATTAATAAATTTGCAATAGTTTCAAGAATCAGATAAAATATATTCAAAATGTATGTAAAGAAAAGGGAGTCTCACTTTTCTTTACCTTTTGGGTCTCGTTGACAATATCTAATATATGCAATTTTGCCCCGCTTTTGCTGTTTTTTTAAATATGAAAAAAAAAACAAGCAAGGAAGCAGAAAAAAAAACATTTTTATTGAACATTGTTAGAGACAGTAAGTGTAGTGTATACCTATTATATTTTTATCTTATATATATTCTTATAAATCTATTCTTATATCTAATGTTTTTTTAACTCCTCCGAAATTTTAAAGAAGTACAAATTGTTTAAAACAATTTATTTTTTAATAATTTTATGAGCAATATGAGAAGAAAAGCGCGAAATCACTAACAGATCACTACCTATAAATAATACCCGCCTCCGCCGGTTCTGTCAATTTTGGCGCCACATTTTGGAAGCGATGCGGATCTGAACCCACATGCTTCAGTTTTTTTGTTGCAAAAACTATTTTAATTTAAACCTAACCATGCTCACTAGTTTTTCATCACATTCCTTATTAATTGAACTATGGAAAAAAAGTTTGGTATTTTAATTGATGTTTCATAAGTTGCCAGCTATTTATCTGCATAATATATATAGATAGGTTACTGGTGTGCATTGTCATTTATAATTTTAGTATTTAATTTTGTAACCGTACTGAAAAGTTAGTTATTTTATAAAGAACAAAAAATACTATAGACATATACATTCGTTCGTCATACAATATACCTACATAATATTTCGGACTATTTTGTGAGCATCCTACGTAATTTTTATGCTATCATTTTAAATCTACATGTTAAAAATACCTATTAAATAATTATAAATTAAAAATAAAAAAAAAC